AACTTTTAACGAAGAACATCAGTCTGCATCTCAGCTGACGATGAAAAGACGAAAGTGGAACAATCAAGTTTTGAACCGGCAAAGTTTTAATGTGTAGAATTTGTTAAAACTCCACCACTCAAAGAAATATGGACAAGTTTAGCTTGAATTTGCATCGCACAGTTAAACATCTGATATATTTAATAATAACTAGGTGAAACCCGTCGAAATCGATGGTTGTGGATGTAGTGGACCATGTAGTAAATTTGGTCCTTACCCTAATTTTTCAAGGTATCTTATCTATCTATCTATCTAAGTTATATATTCTAGCAGAGTAACTAGTAACCATCGTTTGTATGGGGTTGGTATAAGTATAAAATGCTTCTTGCAGTAAGTTATACTCGTGCTTTACGTTTTCAATGGAAGAGGACACTTTTTGATTCTTTTAATTTACGGTATGCTATAGTATAGCACATTTACCTTAGCCATAATGTTCTACCACTGCCCCTAAACAATAAAAAGTGAAATTCTCATTTTTCACAACTTTTGTTGCTAGTTGGTTCAAATTAGATGTTGTCATAAATAGAAAAAAAATAATAGTGCTGCACCCTGGTAAGGTAGCTGAAATATCACGATTTTTAGTTGTAAAATGGGGTAGAATAAGGCTAAGCTAGTCAGGTTTGCCTCATTTTACAACTAAAAATCGTGATAGTTCAGCCATTTTATATTCGATCTTTTAAACTTTGTATCGTCAGATATAGGGCATTGAAAATGCTAAATAAAAGTGGTCTTGACATTATTTCCACAAAATCAGCCATATTTTAGTAATTAAAGTTTTAAGTGTTTAAATTGCCGCCATTTGGTTAGTTTTAAAGAAAATTACACGACAATATTTTTTTTCTCTTGACACATTAAATGTAAGTGCAAAGTTTGGTTTCCGTAGCTGGTTGGTCTTGATATATAAATTGTTTTGTAGATAAAACAAAATGGTGCCTAGCGGCTAAACGAAATTTGTTCGACCTATCTTTATGTGAACTTTTTTGTTAAGATTGATTAGTACCATCAGCCCCTGAAGTTTATGACACCCCTTTATGAACACCCTGTATACAGTATACACATCGTGTTGTCACGGTGGTAATGTAATGTCTGATCAAATGAATACATTCAAGAAATGTTTAAAGGGAACAGCTATAGGTAGACGGGAAACATTTGCAGATAAGACTAAAAAATACTCCCACCGCAGCAGACCTGCAGACTAAGAGAATCCCCATTTGCCTGATTGGATTTACAATAAGATGACTACTTAAAAATATCACATTTATTCCCTATTCAAATAGCATTAGTTTAACTAGTACTTAAGTTTGCTGCAACAGGGAGGGTAAAAGTGTTTTTTTTGTTTTTTTTTTAAGTTAATACCAAAAAAATATATGATCCAAAATTAACCCACAATTATACACAATTATATAACAATTACAATTATAATTATACAATTATAATTGTGTTTTGGATTATTATAAACAAACAAATAACCCGAAAATAAACAGGTTTGTATTATTATTTCAATGCAGCTGTCAAAAAAAGTCCAAAACACGTGTAAAGATTACTAGCTGAACCCGGCAGACGTTGTCTTGCCTTTGACTATTTATAATCCTGCGGGCTTTGCCCCGTTTAACTTCTTAATTTTCAAGATGATCTCGTTCGCATGGCTCAATCACGTCCTGGTTGAAGTTCGTTCGCTACGCTCACTCACCTTTAGGTTGGAGCTCGTTCGCTGCGCTCACTTGCCTTCAGGTTAGCTCGTTCGCTACGCTAACTCGCCTCCAGGTTAAAGTTCGTTCGCTACGCTCACTCACCTTTTGGTTGCAAATTAGCTGTTGTCATAAATGTAAAAGAAATAATAGTGCTGCACCCTGTTGGTAATCCTTGTAACATTAATGCTATTGAACATCATAGAACAGAACCAACTTGTTTAATTGAAACAGCTGTTAAGATTCATTTATTCCATTTCTCATAAGGTTAACATGGGAAACTCCAGAGCCACTGGGGCGGAGCCGATTGGACGGATCACGAAATTGATGGTGTATAAACCTATTCCATGACATTCTACACGTACGTACCAAGTTTCGTGGCAATCGGTTCAGCGGTGTCTGAGTTTATCACTGCCAAACAAACAAACAAATATATATACAAACATCCTCTTTTATACTTATAGATTAATATTTAGATTCCTTTCAGTGATATCTTTTAGGTTTTTGATCCAGTGACTAACATGTCGCAACCAGAGAGCGCATAATATTCGCAACTCGCAACAATACTGGTCAACAGCTGATTTGTTAAACATTATCACGAGTTTGTTGTTAACTTCATTGTAGATGTTTTCAATGTTGATTGTTCTTCTGTATCAAAATGATTGTTAATTAAATTAAGAATGAAGAGGGAATTTCTGCCGTAGAGAAATTGGCTTTAAAACTTAATTAAACGTGGCAAAATTGAAAATGGAGATGATTTACTTGGAAAAATATGGAAGTAAGGTATAATGTTTGTATAGGTTAACTCGAGTTATGAATTATGAGTTATGAAAGCGTTGGCTTGGCGGATGTGTAACTATTATATGCAACAGATGTAAAGATTAAAATGTTTCTATTTCGTGTCATCTTCCTGTTGCAAAGCACGGCTACAACAGCTAGTTTTACATAAATGTAATTTACGTAAACAAAGCGAATCACTTTTCTGATCCAAAGCATATAACAAATATGTCTATTTCATAACAGATAAATTGTACTTTACAATAAATACAGTATAGAATATCTAATTTTCAAACAAATATTTCTATTGTTTTCATTCTATAGCAATTTATGTATTGGTTTTGCAACATACACAGACTGTCCCAAAAGTCCCGGACCGGTTTAATATTTTCCAAACGACAACAGATAAATCAATAAGATTTGGTACATCAACACCACACCTAAAAATCTACTTTTTTAAGGAAATATCGAATTTCTGTCACATCATGGGAACGTCCCGCAAGGAGTCAGAAGGAAATCTTAAATAGAAGCATAGGTTGACATGTACATCAAATTAAAGGTCTTTACTAGCAGAATATATTGCTGCAAATTTGAACTCAAACGGACAACCAAGTCAAGAATGACAGTGGTTCAAAGATTCATTTAATTTGCATTTGGGGGCACAGCCCTAGGAATCGGAAAAAAATTGTTAACGTAAGCATAGGTCGATATGCACATCAAATTAAAGGTCTTCACTAGTAGATTACAATGCCGTAAATTCAAGCTCAAAAGAACGCCTGAGTAAAAAATGGCAGTCGTTCAAAGATTCAAAATGGCAGGTTCAGGAAATCTTTGAACGGCCGCCATTTTGTAACGGGTGGTCCTTTTGAGGCGCGGTTTCCGGCATTGAACTCTGCTATCTAAGCCCTTTAAACTGATGTGCATATTAACCTATGCTTCTATTTAAGATTTCCTTCTGACTCCTTGTGGGACGTCCCCATGATATGACAGAAAATTGATAGTTCCTTAAAAAAGTAGATTTTTAAGTCTGGTGTAGATGTGCAAAATATTATTGATTTATCTGTTGTCGTTTAGAAAATATCAAACCGGTCCGGGACTTTTGGGACAGTCTGTATAACAACGTTATTAAAAATAAACGTTTGATAATACGAGAATGTTAAAGCCTGTTAAGGTATAAGTAGTAAAATGTATGTTAAAAGTATCGGATGTTGATTTACCGGCTTACATGATTCTCTTTTTCAAACAATCAAGGAAATTAGATTTGATTTTATCAGATTGTAATCAGGTTTATTATCATCGGGATTTGTTGCGTAGATGGATGATGATTTTGAAGGAAAACATGGTTCTACAGGTAGGCCTAATTGTTTTATTTCACTTGCATTTTTTATAGTTGCATCATATTATGTCATGATATGCAGGTTTCCGTGCACGCATCTCAACCTCTAGTAATGGCTTTTTAAACTGATTAGTGCATTACAGTAAAACCTCAATTTTAAATATTGAATTAAAGGACTGTAAAATTTTTAAATTCTTAATTTGAATCATGAGAGTAGTTTTTGCCGTTTTTGGAATACACATGTGTTAAAATTGTAAAAAAAGATTTATGAACTAACTTAATTAATTTATTTAGCAAACTTCAGTAGGGGTTAATCGGATAAAATAATTGTATCCAAGAATCGGAATGGGTAGGAGGGCTAACGAGCATATTCAAAGTTTGGTTCTCGCAGGAAAGTGGTAGAAGCGCGTCGCTATATATACAGCGCTGTAGACTGAGCTGTTGGGAGGACCGATGCTACTAAGTGTCGAAAGAGATTCACTTCTCTACCTTGATAATGTATAATGGTATCATCCTCAACAATTACGAACTGTTTACTGTCAAACAGTACAGTTCGGGTTGAACACTTACACCTCAGTAGCGGCCTTTGTTCTCCCTTTTATTTTGATTTTTATATTTTAAATGAAAAAGATTATCCTAGATATTTTTCAACGACTTTCTATCTATGGAAATACTTTGTCATTTACCCCCATTTTAATGATGAACCCAGTTTTATTTATTTTACGTTACAAATTCGATCGATTTCGATCAAATACACCTGTAAACATCAGGATGAATCGGAATAAGAGACGTAAATCTTGATTCACTTTCAAAAGATCGATGATTATGCTTATAGCATAGAATAATTAAACACATTATATTACTTCATCTATGGTTATACTAGCACCATCAAAAATCTGTAAATCAAGTTATTTTGTTTTAATAAACAGATAAAACATGCATTTAAACGCGGTACCGAAGCCAATCCAGTATCAACCAGTTTACCAGCCGGTATTCCTTCGCAGCCCGTCCTTGGGACCACTGACCGCTAGCACGAGCGTGTGTAGTGTGCCGGTGCGTGCGTGAGTACAGGTAAGGCGTCCGTCAGGTGGCGCCTCCAGGTGCGGTGGTCGCTGCGGCAACTACACCAACAAAGCCACGCCACTCGAATAGTAGAGTACCGTAGCGCGTATAACGTAAACGACGTTTCATCACCGTATCGAGTCAGCCTAGTTTCCACAGACACAATAACTGAAGGCCGTGACGAATTCCTTACATCACGGGTTTGGTGACTATCCAGTACCAGCTGGAGCGGAAGTGTGCGGGTGTGAACTTTGATCCCAATAAGTAATTGCGTGGGCGGAAGTTCGGGAAGAAGAAATGAGTTTCAAGTCAGCAGTGGCTAGTGTTGTAGTGTAGTGATCGTGAGTGTTTTCCTCTAAAAGTGTTTTGCTAGTTCCAGTGTTGTTTACAAGGCTGTTTTAATTAATAAGTATCTAGTACTGTTGTGTAACTTACTCTTGTGATTTTTCGCAAACTTGAAATTTGGTTCAAAGCGAGAAATATATTTTGAAAACTATTCCCACATTTACTGATGATTTCTATTGTTATCGATCGTAATGTCTTGCAACTCATAACCTCATCAATTTATTCCGGGTAAACCATCACTACTCATTGATAACAACAAGAAAGGTGACGTATCTATGACAGTTGTTTACTAGTGGAGGGGCGTGGCCTCAGAGAAACTCCCGCGATGGCGTCTCGTGCCTCAAGGACGTTACTGCTTCTACAATGTTTACATCTACAGCTGATCTCTAGTCAATACTCTGGAGGGAGACCTATACAGCCAGAGGGTAGAGAGGTGTTCACGCTACCTCCCCCTGGTGACCCCAACTACAGGACTTATATCTACAACAATCGCAGGTACGGCCAAGCGCTGCCACCTAGAGAGTTCATCCCTTCATACAACAACCCCCAACTGCCCAACCCCAACAGTTACGACCCGACCATCAACCGGGGACTGCCACCGGGGGAGGACCCCAACAGATATATGTTCAATCATGTGAGTATGGCTTCGGCATTATCTTAGTTCTCAACGCATTTGGCTCATTTCATAAATAAATACATCAGAAATCTGACACATATACTTTCTCCCATTCGCTTGTCAACAACTTTTATCGTGGGCCCTGGTGAAAGTTACTGTGCTATAGAGAAAATCAAAAAAGTTGCAATAGCTTTTGCACATTATTTTTATAACAATTGGGTTGCACTATTTTGTTTCGAATTAAAAGTATCATAATAAACTAATGTTGATCGGATGGGTTTTTATGGTGTAATAACATTAGTTACGGTACAATAACTTTTGAACCGTAATTATTGCAATGGGAGTTGTACCATTTTGTTCAGGTTTAACGGACTAAGTACTAAGTAGTCTAGTTATAACATAGGTCTACTAAATTTCTATCAAAATCTTTAGATAATTTTAAAAGAAATTCTATTTTTCCGTTGCTTGTTGATTTTTATGGGGAAAATAACTAAACAAAATTAAAATAACGCCTGGAGATACCGCATGAATTGTACCTTACATAGGTACCAAATTTCATCAAAATCTGACTATAGGTGTCAGGTGTAAACTTAGTCTGTAGCTCGGTACACATCCACACATACAGACACACACACAGACATACATAGCTTCAAAACCCACTTTTTGGGTTCAGGAGGGCCCATACAAATATATCCACTCAAACTCTTATTTTGATATAATATAATATATAATCCTATATTCCTATAACTTATTATAATAAAAAAATTCTTATTTAATCAAACTTTCGTGCTGTAGGCTGTAACCAACTTATCTAAGCACCGTGATCGCGTGTGATAATAGGATAGTAATGGGGGGATGCAAAATATAACCGTTCTAATCATACATCACATAACGAAAAATACAGCACAAAGGCAGGCCTAGGTTTTTACATGAAGTTTTAAATATTTGCACCAAGTAAAATCATAGATTTTAAAGTTCCTTTAAAGTCCTCATAGATCAAGACAAAAAGTGTGATTCTGTCTGGTATTTGTTGAATGCATTTTTGTTTAATATGTACTTACCGTAGTTATTTGTTGCATTTCACCAACTATAAACAATCTATACCGTATGATATTTTTACTTGTCAATTAATGCCAGGACAAAATACAAAGTGCACACTGTAAAGTATATCCTCTAATTAAATCCACATTACTTCTCAAATTTTACCGCTGATGAAATGCAGATAAAATAGGCTTTAGATTTTACAACACGAAATTGCACTAACCTAAGTCAACAATTAAACATTAATTTTGTTTCATTTGTGGTTACTCGTCAGACATCCCTAACTTCGAAACAATCTCCTTCCACGGTCAAGGCTTCTGCTAATTGTGTGAACGAACTGTTAACCCTACAATTCAGCCTTTGTTCAAGAATATATCGCCGTATCGGTATTCTCTAGTAGAGTACTTCCCACGTTCCCAAGGTTCAAGACTTAATTGGCGTTCCAATTAAACTGATAATTGATTGATTCATAATTTAAGTCCATCACTGTTCATTGGCCATGTTCTAGTTTAAGATACCTCAAATTGTCCTAGTCATGCTTATCATATTATCATTATAGTTTTACCTTACAGTAAATTTAAAAATATTCCTCTCAATAATACCCATTGACAATGAGTCGGGGACGGAAAACAAATAAATGCAACTCACTTGTATACCAATTTCACTGCCCTTAAAGAGGGATGAGGCACACTCGCTACAACAATCAGGACGCTATAATCACCATGGTATAAAACAAGCAACCCCCTTCCCTTAATCACAGAAAACATACTAATTTCTGTGCCTTATGTAATAAAAACTCAAGTTACAGGTAGGTCTATTATTTTTATCACTGAACACCTACCTTTCTACTTGATTGGCTATATTTTAAAGTCATCTACGAAGAAATATTTTACCCATTTAATGACATTTTAATTAATTGCCCGTGGTTTTTTAGTGGTGTAATTGAGTTTTATTAGTTTTATTTAAATCACGCTTACATGGTGATTAACATATTTTCTTTCAAATACAACTAGGCCTAGCTAAGATCCTGAACTAGTACAGTATATTGCGCGCTCAATAACGCTTATCTTGCTGATGATACGGTGTAACCCATTGAGATATCACGAGTTGGGTAAGGGCATTAAGTGCTGAAAACGTTGACTCGCGTAATGATTTGGTTATAAATAGTCCTTCGTCTACGAAACTAAATCTACAGTAGTTAGCATAGCAGACTTTTACGCATTTGAAATCAAATAACTCTATAAACAAACACATGGGGTTCTAAAAATCGTGACTTACTTATGCATAGAGAGAGGAAGTAAAAAGTCAAAATCTTAATTTTATCAAGGAACCCAAAATGCAATAGACACGTCAACAATTAATCGTATAAATTAGTTACCGTACTAATCATTAAAGCATCTAAAACTAGTTCGTTCCATGAACATAACAACATAGGTAAGTAGGCCCACTTTTATATCTTTCGGATGAAAAGGACGCGTTCGTACAATTCAACAAATTATCATAGATTAAACGTACTTGCACTATTCAAAGTCAATGGTTTAATCTATAATGAGAAATAGATTTGAATAATTGTCCTTTCAATTGCCCGCTTATTCATACTATTCTGTGACTGCACTTTGTTTAGCATTGCGACCAACCGGATGTAGTTCTATATAAGAATCGGTAACGTAGATTGGCTAATGAAGGTACATAAAGTGAAAAAGAATATGAAATAATAAGGTATTTACTGAAAATTCTAGGACCAAGACAAAAAGAATATAAGTAATAATTGCTATTCCACAAATTTAACAACGGAAGGAATCTTATGTTTTGATAAAATCTACGAAAATTAATTTAGTTCTCGCTATGAACATGAGTACCAGCGTTTCAATATAAGCCCCAGTGTTGCGATAATTTAGTACATTTTGGGCGATCGGGGGATTTCAGGAGTGCCTGACGAACTAAAATTCAGAGGGGATTCCCGGGTGAAACCGGTGTCTTTTTGGTATAGTTTCGAATTAATAGTAGATTAATAGTCTCATCAGAAATTTTAATTTATTTTTTACTAACAATCAAGTGTTTGGGTTATTTAAAATAAAAATGATTGCTTTTGTGAGGCTTATTAAGATTTTGATTAACTTAGTATTATTACAACAACTGACAAACAAATCATTATTATTTGATTTTTAAATCTCCGCATTTATCAATGGCCTTACCTTTATTAGTTTTAATATAAATAAAGCGAGTTATCCCAACTTGGTCAAAAAAGACCCTTTCTCGTTGAATACTAACACAACCTAAACATACCAACCTTTTAGGGACTCAATGATAATTATTGTTACAATAGTTTTGCTTACATCTGTATTTACCTTTAAAACAAAGTAATTGTCGTATTTTCCTTTGTGTGTTGTATTTGTATGACTGTGTTAATGTTTTTGCCTTTGCCGATTATTGTATGTCTTCTTGTCCTAAAACGTGAAAGGGTTTACTTGAGGAAATTAATTGTAGGTGGGTGTTGTGGGGGGAGGTGGAGAGCATGGCCTGACCTCAAGTGAAGTCGAAATAGTTTGTTGACCCCAAAAGATGTGTGAGACGAGATTTGATGGCCTTGAACAACATTGGAATACGGAAGAAATGCTTTCACTCTACTCTATACACGAGCCCCGAGAACTTGCACTTACGGTCTGTAAATGTTCTAAAGCAGAGACTAAAATAAAGCCATTGTAAAATCCTAAATGCTATGGTGACGACACAGACAATGTTTTAATGGCTTAACACCACTTGTTAAAACTCAAATAGCTTTTCCTACAGTTACCTAACAATGTACATGTTCTCTCACTGATTTGAGAAAGCAAAGTGGCCAATTCGCTCATCAGTGAGACAATGTTAACATTGTCTCACTCTAATTACTTTGTCTCACTCCAGATTTGCAACGTGAAGGCACGAAATAGTGAGCGCGTAACATGCAGGCAACGTCGTATGCGCGCGAAATACGTTGGCAGCACTGACTGTAAATCAGCTGGTCAGCTGTTGTACTGTTGTATTTGTCACTTCACATTAAATGTTATATTAAAAGTTCACTTTTGTGTAAAAATAGGTTATGTTTTTTCACAAATTTATTTGTTTTATGGTAACTGTAGGAAAAGTATAATGTGCAACTCGAGTTCAAAGTACAATTGCCTCACTCGAGAAAACATTCCCCACTCGCCTACGGCTCGTGAGTAAGGATTTCTCTCGAGTGAGTCAATTGCTCACTTTTCTCACTAGTTGCACAAATAACTATTTTCACCAATTCTATCAATGTTGTGTAGGTCATATCATCAACTATATTATGACCACCTCAATATTTTTTTTTTAAATTGGTACCTACCTTTAAAATAAGGTGCGTCAGCTGTTAGGCCTATATTTTGTTTTATTGGTTTTACCTAACTATCAGCTGTTTGGACTTTGGACTGCTCTTTGCTCTAAGGGGGATTGTCTATGATTATTATTATTATTAAAAAAATATTAGTTTTTATTCTGAAAATTGCACCGTTTATTGCAAATTATAATATATCTTCGTTAAAATAAGAAATAAGTAGGCCTACGGTTGAGCCATAGATAAGCATACTCCCTTAGTAGATTTCCCATCCTTATGGAACAGCTAAAGCCAATTTTATCGTTAGTTCTGTCCGGTACACTATAGAGGCGGTGTTTTGTTTACAATTTGTTTTCAGTCATTTACCCCGTTTAAACAAATAAAACCAACGATATAATCATAAACAATAACCCATTCTCTAGTTATATAACCGAACGGTAAAACACAAATAATGAAATTAACTCCAAATTAATATAAACAAAATCTCGTCAACACTAGCCCCCAGAGTCACCGGGCATGAGCTAGACACGAAAAACGAGCTTCAAAATTTACAATGGAATGAGAATAAGTCTACTTGTGTTGGTTTAGTCGATGGTTGAGCTTTGGCTTCATTATAACTCATGTTAAAGTGTGCAAGCATTTTTGAAATAGTATTTTGAAGTGTTTTTCCAGAGATTTAATTGTGCAAAACAGTCTTTAGGTAACGGGACTAAGTTTTATCGGTAACATTAACCAAACCAACAACTCGATTCATTATAACCGAAGCGTTACCTTCCTAATAAAGCTTATTACGCTAATATACCTTCCTTAATACGCTACATGAAATGTTGTGAACAATATAAGGTTTTTTTGTTTTAAGATTTAACCCCACATATACCAAAATGTTCGTCTAGGTGTGTATATTTGCAAACTGACCCTATATTTTTGAAAAGGTCCCTTGAGCTCTGCCCCAGTGGCTTAGAAGCCACTGGGGCTCTCCATGCTATCCCATGCTATGTGAAGAACATATTTGTTTACATTATGGTCAGATAGATAATTTAATTGATGTTAATATTTAGTTCCAATTTAAGGAAACGTGTGCTACAAAGAATATTTAACATACATTTCTAAATTAAATATTACCAAGATATATACATCTATGAAAGCAAAAAAAAATAATTCCACAATCATTGTACATTGTATAATTTTACCCGGGCAAAGCCGGGTTTTGGTGCTAGTCATTCAAAACACTTACAGCCCCGAATTCGCAATCGTGAATCGACCCACCACATTGACGTGCCTAAATTATTAAGAACCACGTTTATATTAATTGACATGACCAATGCAAATTTTGTATTCTTTGTTATTTTGGTTCAATAAATGAGTTATGAGTTATATAAGTTACATGCAATTTAGTCTCTGTTCATTCCTCCATTAAATGTCATTCTTGCTGACTACCTTTATTATTAAAAAGTTGTACATTTAAACAGCGATATCTTCAGTAATATTCATTTGCTGTGAAAAATAATGTGTTATATTTGGATTCAGGAGATAAAAAACTATGAGATATCAAAATTAGAAATTCGTTTTGAGGCACCTATAGTAAAATGTCTCATATGGTAGTTTAATTATCATAGGAGTATAGGATTAGTTAATCCCTATTTACAATAAAAATAATTGAGGACAGTGTGGTTGAAGAACGAAAACGTGAAATTGAGTCAATTCAGAATAAGCCTACTGTAGTTTAGTAGGTACCGGCCGGCACGGCAGTCGGGCAGTCTTCATACGAACGGAACTTCATGACATCTGACGTCATTGCTCATATGAGTCATTTCATTCTTCACTGTTCACTCTTAATCAGCGTTCATTGATTCGTCATCACTACTGCAGTAGCGGCTTCTCGTTGATCTCGTCACTCAACAATAGTTTGTCCTCATCTGTACTACTCTATGTCTTGTCTTTGTGGATTTTTTTCTACACTCCCTTCCCTTTCGTCTCGTGACGGCAACGAGTGACGTTTGACGTTCTTTGTCGTTTGTTTGTGTTTTTGTTTTGTTTTCTGTTTTGTACCCTATTCTCAAGTTCCAGTTCACAGCCTTTTTATATTTCTGACTCATTATCAAGAGTTTTGTAATAATGAAGTGATAAAACCCCTCTAAAAAGTGAAATAAGTCAAGTCAAAGATAGTTATAAAATATTTTCATCCCCTTAATTAAAATTGTGGTCTGACTTGCATCTAATTGAGGTTATGTTATGATTATACAAAGTGTAAACAAAGTTCCATTTTTAACGATTTCTTCTCAGAGTTAAGACTTGACTTTTTGACAAACTCTAAATAAGTCAGATTTTAAATGTTGAGATTCAAACTGTCTTCTAGTTTCTTCTCAAAGCTCGGCTATGGTATTGCTTTTGTATTTTTGTTTCCCTCTTATGTTATTGCTACACCTTTAACTGGCTGGGTGAGTAATGTAACAATTTCCACTCAAATATTTTCATAAAATATGCTTATTTTGACTTAATGTTTACCTAATTTGAATTGGGTCAGCTTAATAGGTCTACGTTTAAATTTAAGATTTTTCATAGAATGTAAGTTAGGCCTAGGCGTACTCGACTCTTAGGCTACCGGGGTATAGTTACTGTCCTGTTAAACATTCATTACAATTATGGACGATTTTTCGATTAGGCCTAGATAACTTATTCCTATCAATAAGTTATTTTATTTTTGATCTGATATAGGCCTAATCGTTATTAACGAATTGTAACATAAAACTTAAGCCTATCATCAGCTTACAACACTAGGCCTATACGATAAATACTTGGAAACTTACTTGGAGAATTCCCCCTGGTATCGCATCAGCGACGTGGTCGTCAGGTTTTTATATATTTCTTGATATTAATTTATATAAATGGTTTCATTTCCGCTTCAGGGATGTACATGGCCTAGACATAAATTTCATCAACACTGTAGTAGGACGCTTGACTTAAGAATGTTTTAGCAGGTTCTTGAATTTGTTGATAGAGTGCTCTTGCGTGATGTACTGAGGCAATTTATTGTAAATTTTTATACTATTGAAGTAAGGGCTCTTGCTTGCAAGGGTGGAATTTACTTGAGGTACATGTGGATTTGTTGCTCTTCTTGTATTGTAATTGTGGACCATGCTGTTAGTTACAAAAATATTGGGATTCTTCTTAACAAGCAATGCGGATTCCAATATAATAAGTTAAGGCCTAGGCCTATTGTTCAGTATCAACAAACATCTCCCGTTCTACCAAAGGTATGAATAACCCAACTGCATTGAAAACTCTTTATTGTGCAATGGTGAGACTGTGTCTGGAATATGCTTCCCTTAGAGTCTGGTGGGAGTGTGTCAGGGATACCGCTATTGGGAGGTGCCCAAGGATATTCTGGCTGAGGAGTTGAAAATCCAGCCATTGTGCATGAGGCGCAGCGTTGCCAATGTTGGTTTCTTGTAAAAGCTGCTAAAGGTCATATATGCTGTCCAGGCTGCTATCAGAAATAGACATTAGAATCCCTACCATAACAAGATCCAGGGACCTGTTCGATTGTCTTGTGCATCAGAGTTACTTGTGATCTCGACTTATTTGCCGACATGATGTAAATAACCTGGTGTCACCACTTGATATTTTTATTTATTGCCTACTGTTTATATTCGGGTAGACTTTCATAAGTGGGGCCAAAAACAACCGAATGAAAATATCTATCGATTATTCGATATATCGATTATTTCATTCGGTTAGTTTGGTTAGGTTAACCAAACTTGATAGGCCTATTAAATGAAATAATTGATCGATATAGTTATTCGGTTGTTTTTTGCCTCACTTATGAAAGGCTTCCCGTTTATTCTTGTAAGCCTACTGTAGCCTACCATCTCACCCCTATGCTTTTTTTTATTATAAGTGTCACATACAGGCTATGGAATTCTGGAAGTACAGGCTATTGCAAAAATGCATCCCATCAAATAGCACAACATTTAAAATATCTGGCAACAGTTCTGTCTAGACATTCTTAGGCCTAGATACCTAGACATCATAGATTTATTGAATTAAAGATTGTTGACATTTTCATACACTGTCCTAAAGCAGCAGTAGGTTAAGTTTTGTTAATTAGTAGGTAATTAGAATGGCGGAAGAAGCAGTACTTCAGTTGTTTGACTTAAAAGAGGCCAGCAACCTCACTTTACAATTTTGTTTGTCTGATAGTTTTCTTTATTTGCAGGAATTAGGCCAGTTAATTCCTCTTCCGGGGGTGCTCGGCAAATGGAGGCCTGACTTGCAAGGCAAGCAAAGAGACAACTGGCAATCGCTAGAGAGGGATGTAATCGTCGACACTAAGTATGGAAAGGTGCAAGGCTTCAAAACGTACCTGTACGACAACCCCGACCCCAAGTCAGGTTACAGGCCGGGCCAGACTGGGCAGGTTGAGAGGATACAGGGGAAAGTTGATGTTTTCCTCGGCATCCCTTACGCTGTCCCGCCTATCAAAGAGGGTCGATTTAGGGTAAGCTATCAATTACTTCGGTATTTTCTTTTGATCTAGCCAAGTAGAATAAATATTTTTACTCAGAGCAAGCTGCACAAAATGCTGTTTAGTTTCATTTTACCAGTATCATGTTCCTCTAACATGATTATATATTTTCATAACTAGGCCTATTTAATTAAATAACATTTAACAGCAGACTTAATTCTAGTCTTTCACTTTTTGGTTTAATTGCCTGTCACGCTTTGCACATATTGTAAATCAATCGACAAAGACAGTCTACCAAGAAAAACTATCAAAGGGTTCTCATTGACCATTAATAGATTGAAACTCTGTACCAAAAACTATGAATAGTCTGTTTCAACCTCCAATAGTATCAACTCACCTCAGTACAATACTTGTAGCACCTGTCAAAAACTGGCTGGGTAGCTGAGTGGTTATGGTGCTCGCCTAGTAATCAAAAGGTTGCTGGTTCGATCCTGAGAAAAGTCAGTGGCTTTTTGATGGATCGAAACTGGACCCAGCTGTTCCTGATAATTGGGCTTTAAATAAATGATCCTGACTAATGAAACAGCTGATCTTAGTCAGTAACAAAGCTACACAGGTCATCACACACCATTCTACACTCATCCTTCACTCATATTTGGGTTAAAATAGCACCTAGGTGGCATTGATGATTGATAATTGATAATTGAAAGGCCTGACCTATCCAAGGCTGAAGAGTACTAAAGTAGGCTACTAACAGCCCTAGGACATCACCAGCTTAAATGCATCATGGAACAAGAACTGAGCAGTGTACAGATACTCTATTTATGTGGAAGGTTCATTCGGCCCACTCTAAATGACCGGTCAGAAGGTAATATTGGTTTGGTATAGTTTTTGAGGTTCTGTTTAAAACTAATGTCTCATGGTAATGTTTCAGCCACCCAGGCCCCACCGAGGCTGGGAGGTGATACAAGCTGTAGACTTTGGCCCAGCTTGTCCTCAGCCTACCAGGTTTACTGGAGCCACCAAGGGCATCCGAGACATGGACGAGGACTGTCTCTACCTCAACGTCTACTCTCCTACGGTGAGTGTTGGGTTTTTAGAGTGTTCTAATGTTTTTTTTCCCCCACCTAGCTACTTGTAACGTGTTGATACCATCGAAGTAAATAAATGGAACGCTAAGTATAAGTTCACGAAAGCACGCTTGTGACAGCCTTCCTCCACCACCATGATGGACTCAGCGGAGATGAGCCAATTCATCGAATAGTGTGCGAAGTTGTTATCTCGTTCCTAGCCTTCAATAACACGGATTAAGTACAATAATACTTATTTATTCGGAATCTGCCTTAAGTGCAGAATGCAGAATTGTATACTTTTTACTTTTAATTTGAATTATAAATTTATAATTTCCATAGTTAAAAAGAATTAAGAATTTTCACATTGTGACATTAAAAGTTAGTTTTCTAGGAAAACATTTCTGGGAGTACCATAAACCAAAAGATCAGCGAAACCAGGGAGGACGGCCCGTGGTGCAATCTATAAAGAACCTTGTTGCGCTACTAATTACTCCATTACACAAGACTAAGAAATGTTATTTGAAATTGCTTGGTTATATGCTGAAGATCATCTCATTAGCTACAATTTTGTCACGAAGTTTGCTTCTGACAATAAAATTTTTTTAAATCCTCGCTTAGTAACTTTTAATGTCAAGGTGTAATATTCTTGAAATGTTTTCAGTTGTTAAAAAAAAGCCAGGAGTGTATTAACAACTGTGTGCACGGCTTGAGGGACTGACTTTTCTGCGTTAGGTCCATCAAGGTGGTGTGGAAAGGGTGCCGAAACGGCTCTTTTTTTCTTACCAAACATTTTGAACATAACCAAGGAAAAAAACCCTCACACATTTTAAGCAACACGGCAGCCCACACCCCAAAAATAAAATTTAATATTTCATTGTTTGAATTATAACCAATTGTATATTTTTTAACTTCACTTGGGATTTTTTTAAAGCTATGCTGATTTATAATGTTCACAGACGGTGTCAGGTCTGGCCAAGCAGTACCCAGTCATGTTCTACATCCATGGGGGAGAGTTCAGCAAAGGAGCTTCCAACCTGTTCCCAGGACATGTCCTGGCAGCCTTCTACGAGGTGGTGGTTGTCACAATCAACTACCGTCTTGGGGCTCTTGGTGAGAAAATGATTTAATAAATATTGGCCTGGTAGTCAGTCTCATAAGGTAATTTGTACAGTAAAACCCTGTTAAACCGTCGCATTCAATAATGCATCAAAACATTAGATAAGCCTTCTGGGTTGGCTGAGTAGGTAGAAATTCCATTTAAGTGTGTTCCGTACTCGTCTGTGATGAAAAGTCTTGGTTCTCAATTTTGTGTCAAATAGTGTCGCTCTACCATAAACACTTGTGTATTGTTTCTGAATAGTAAACAACTTAAAAATTGTATCCTTCCTTTTAATCGAATTGCTTATAATAGAAACATTTTTTGTCTGGATTAAGCCAACTCTAGTAGAAAATTATTCTTAAGGTGTTCCATATTGAATTCATCAGAATCTTTGTGATGAGTTCGTCCCTTCAATGGCAGCCCAGACACATGGAATTCAACACTTCAAGCTTAATAATTATATTATAGTCAGTGATTGATTTCTAGCACCTGAACTGAAACATCTTTATCAATAAAACCGTGATAGTGGTAGTAATGATACATATCCAATCCACTCATCCAATCCACACATAGAAACTAAAACAATATAGGTAATCAAACTATGATCATGAATTCATACAGCCCCAATCACTTGTGCAGGTTTCTTGAGCACAGCAGACGCCAATTCTCCGGGTAACTACGGCATCCAAGACATGTCAATGGCGCTGCGATGGGTCTACGAGAACATTCAGTTCTTCAACGGAGACAGAGATGGCATCACAGTGTTTGGCCCGGACGCAGGAGCTGCGGCTGCCGGACTGCTCATGGTCAACCCTAGATCTAGAGACGTAATCGCCAGAGTAATTGCTCAGGTTTGTATCACTCTTGGTTAGGGATAAGTTTTTGTTGTGACGAGTAAATATTTCCCCGCTTTAATTAATAGTTTTGAATTTATTTTTTTTTTACCATGTCTGGGTGAATTTTTATAGTATTTAGGTACCTAGTTATTAGCAATACCTGTGTCTTGAAAAGGGTTTATAATGCAGTGATTAGTGTTATTTTTGGCAAATGTGAACTGTTGATATGAGCAAGGCAGCTCCTTGTAGAGGCGAAATATCAAGTTTATTATGTTGGGAACCTTTTTAGGTGTGCTTTCAGCTACCTGGATTTATTTACTCAGGTAAGTTAGTTGTGTATCCATTCCTTCTTCCTTCAATCATGTACTACTAAGTCAAGAACCTTTTCCTCTAAAAAAAAACTAACACCAATGTATTTTTCACTACAAAATCTAGTGAAAAATACGTTATAAAATTGGGAAATCATTCAAATCATCTTGCACTTAATTTATTGGACAATCACAACACCATTTACAGACTGAAGCGACATACAATATTGGACCTACCATTCAGATTCAGCTAAGTGTTATAAAAATTCTCTTTGTTAGCTAGTGTTGACAGTGGTCAATCACTAGCTCATGTTCTTCAAGTTATTTTTGTATTACTATTTGTATCATTTGCTTATTGTTCAACTTGAACTGATTGTAAATTAAATAAAGTTAAAAAAAAAGTAAAAGAGCATTAGAAAGTAAGTTTAATAAGTCATATCTGTATGTTAAAAAATAAGCAAAGCCTATTAACAATCTGATTGAGAAATTTGTCAAATTATTCATTGCAAAGTGGTTTTAAAGTTACAGATTTTTAAATGCAGTTTGAACACATCTGCCTATTTTTCTAGCTGCTAAGTGAATCATTATTAGAGATATCTCTGAGTTTGGTTCTTAAAAACATTCCTGAAATGCTTCTTCACCCAAAATATGCACTGATTTAAATCCGAAGGTATTATTTTTAGTCACAATAAAATATTTAGTCAGTAAAAACTTAGCAGTAGATTTTTAGTTTTTAATGTACTGAGTGTTTTTTTAGAGTGGGTCTGCAACAGCAGACTGGGCGTTGACTGTAGACAGGTACCGAGCCCAGAACACCAGCAGAGTGTACGCCATGCGGCTGGGCTGTGGCATTGAGAGCTCTTACAAGCTGGTTGAGTGTCTGCGACATCGCAGCTTCTATGAGCTGGGCAATGCTGAGTTTGAGGTACTAAAAAAAATGACTACCTAAAAACTATATTTCGGTTGTTTGTTCATATTGAGAAACGTAGTCTAATTTGATCAAGCTATTCAGTGGCTTTTAACCCTGTAGGCAGGGTGATGAGCTCCCCCCTTCCCAGTTTCATTGAGGAGTAACTAAAATAGTCTCAAGGTTTTAGGTTGTGATGTATCTAATCTGAAAATAAAATAATTTGTAGGCTGAATTAAATTCATGCCGGAGGTTTGTTTTCCTCCAGTAATAAAATGAACAGTCAACAATTTTTTATTTAACAACTGTACAGTGCATGTTTACACTCTCATAATGTTATGAAAACAACAAAGTTTTTAATATGACAAACTACACATGTTATGGAGAATTATGTAGCCTACAGCAAAGGAATTGCAGATTTTCAAGAAACAGTTTGACACCCTGGATACTTAATTCAAGCAATGACGTTTTCTTAATTGAAGAACTTACACAACTGAAAGCTATTACATATCACATTTCCTCCAAACCTCGTCAGAACTTACTCTCTTTCTAACTCTTTCTGTCCACATTGTCACAGCCCCAGGTAGGCATGTTCCCGTGGGGTCCGGTGCTGGATCTCAACTTCACAGTCCCGCGGGACACGTGGTACGAGGGCTGGAGAGAACAAGACTGGCGCTTCACCAACTTCACAGCAGAGCAGTACATCAGGCAAGGCCGCTTCAACAGAGGGCTCTCCTACATGACTGGGGTCACCACGCAGGAGGCAGCGTTTGTCATTTGTAAGTCGTTGATAGAAATTGGTTTTTGTATTTTGTATTACAGAGATTGAAAGAATAGTTTGTACGAAGTAAAAGGATAGCTGTGAGATCAGTATAAATCACCACTCAATTAATGAAATGAAATTAAATGAAAATCCTTCTTTATTGAGGCGAACTAAGGATCTCACAATCCTTTCTACCTCTAAAAAACTAACAATAAATAATAATAAAACATTAACAAAATAAAACAACAAAGTTTATACAATAATAAACAAATAGGTGTAATAACATTACATAAATTTCCCTAACATACAATCACACACACATACAGCCTCTGCTGCACCAAGGCCTAATGCACGCCATCCCGCCACGCCACGGCCATCCGGTTAAGGTAATATTCTCTCAACGTCACCGTCAGTTGGGATCGGTTTTCTAAGGATTTAATAGGATAAGGTACAGAGTTCTAAAGGTGTGATGCAGTTTCTAAAATACCCCCGCCGCAGCAAATCTGCGGATTAAGCGAATTTCCACTATTCAGATTGGCTTTTCACTCAAATATTTCCTTAAACTAGAAGTAAAAGTGATTTTCTTTCTAAAGAATATTAGTAAAATAATCAAAGCTTAGTATGAAATGAATAATTTTGCCAAATCTAATCAAAACTTATCAATAAGCAAGCAAACTACAACAGTTTACTTATTATTCTCCATGAGAAAAACATATTTGCCTAATTCCAATTTAGGTATATATTTTAGAATTTTCTCTGTAACCACTAAGCATAAAGCATATCTTACAACAATGCGCCAATAGACGAAAATATTTAACTTACAAAAGTTTATTTAGCTTACAAAAGTTTATGTTGCGAGAGTAACGGAAACATATATATATATATATACTGTACTATTAAATTATTGTAGTAAATAAGTACAACTGAGCACCCTGAATATTATATTTTTAAAAGAAGTTACTTCTTTTAAAAATATAATATTCAGGGTGCTCAGTTGTACTTATTTACTACAATAATTTAATATATCAGCAGCCCAGCCCAATTACGTGAATACCTAAATTAAAATGTACTGTACTGTTATATTAGGGATTGAATTTTTAGTTCGGGACGGGATTTTTATTTCCTTCTCAATTTTCGGGACGGGATTTTATCCTGTGCATAAAAGGAAAATATTGAGTATTGCAGTTAACAAACAGTGGCGGTTCCAGGGGGGGGCTACAGGGGCTAAAGCCCCCCCCCTGGAACCTGGAAAAATAAATTTAAACGTACATAGCACGCAACGTCATAAAACAGACATCAATGTAGTTTTTATTAAACTTAATAAGCGATGGCAGGAGTAGTATTAAGTTCCACAAAGATAAACTTTGTGGACAATAGCACAATGAATATAACAATATTACGCGATGGAAAGTTGTGCGCATCATCCAATTTTTACAGCACAGCTGTTGACATGCTAGGGCAAAGGCAAGCGCCGAGCGTGCGAGCGAGGACGGGGAAACAGCTGATTTCCTGATGTTCCATAGTTAGTTGTCAAATTGTCTGCTAGCCACTAACTTTACACAGGCATCAATCAGTAATCAGTGGTAGCACCAGTAGCCTATTACCATTGACTATATAAACACTAACACTAGTGTTAAAGTTTATATAGTCAATGCTATTACTGAATTCGATACTATACATATTGTGTGACAGATCTATGAAATGGAGAAAAACGTAAGATTAAAAAACGTGTCTACTTGCTTGCATGACATATATAACAGGTGAAATGGGAGGTTTTAGGACAATTTGACACAGGTCTAGCCGTTAAAAAACGCTTAATAAAGTCACAAAACGGCTTTAAGGAGATATGGCTTTGTAGTCTACAGTAGGCCTATGTTTTGAAATTCATGAATGCAAGTTCGTCATAGTTTGAATTTAAAAAGTCCACTTGCTCATGACAAAGACAAATAACAGGTAAAATGGGAGGTTTTTGGACAGTTGGACACAGATATAGACAATAATAATGGCTTTAGAAATTCAGTTAACAGCTTTTAGGAGGATGTGGGCCGTAGCCTATAATATGTTTTGAGATTTATGAATGCTGTCATAGTAAGTTTTAAAAATGTCTACTTATTCATGACAAATAAATGGGGAAATGGGAGGTTTTGGTTTTGCACACAGTTCTAGACGTTAAAAAATGCTGTAAAAAGTCACCAAACGGCTTTTAGGAGGATATGGCCGTAGTCTACAGTGTGTTTTGAAATTCATGAATGCAATCGTCATAGTTTAATTTTTAAAATGTCTATTTGCTCATGACAAACAACAAGTGAAATTGGAGTTTATGGACAGTTGGGCACGGTTTTAGGTGTTAAAAATGGCTTTAGAAAGTCACCAAACGGCTTTGAAAATTCCAAATTTTCCCGGGGGAGGACCCCCCGGACCCCCCTACTTTAGTGGGGGGTGCTCCACACCCCCCAAACCCACCGGTAGCCCCCCCTTGACAAGGTCCCAGAACCGCCACTGTTAACAAACAAGACAAACAAAATCAATTTTTACCATTTGTAACACTGATCTATAAATATGAAAGTTATTGTTGGGAGGAGAGCAAACAAGATACATTTATTTAACTAAGAAAATTGGGATTGTGTCAGAACCAGTAGTATCAGACGTTATCCGTCTTATAGCCTTCAAAACATCAATCTGCAATACTGGCTTAAAGTTAAATTAGGGAATAGTATTAGGCAACCGACATATTTTAACTCGGTTCTGAACTATTTAACTGTTTTCACGAGTGCTTCAAACTGATAAGAAATTATTGTTCTAACCATTCAAAGACATTGATAATGGGACAGAGTCAACTTGCTTTCTGAATCCAAGACGTTTAAGATTACGCCAGCGAACCGCAGATGATTGCTTTCCTTCGAAAAACCACTTATGAATATGAAAATATTGGAGTCAAGAATTGCGTAAACATTGTTTTTAGGGATGGACGAGATTGAATTTTTGGTTCGGGATGGGACGGGATTTTTATTTCCTTCCAAATTTTTGGGACGGGACGGGATTTTTTCCTGTACATAAAAAGAAAGTCTTGAGTTTTGCAGTTACCAAACAAGAAAAACAAAATCAATTTGTGGCACTGATCTACAAAAAAAAAAAAAAATGGGTAAAATATCACTCTTCTGCTGCTAGTGATGTCTACACAACCGCATCACCGCTTCCGACTTCTTTAATAACGATTCTTATTACTGTAGCTGTAGGTTTTTAAGCAAAGTTGTACCTGCAAAGTTATGGAAATAATTCTACTAGGTCTATATAATTCAATTCCAATTGTTATGATATTTAAATTATCTAACAGCATATTTGAAAAATGCTGACAAAAATGAATTAATCTTAGCCTAAGGTAATTTTACACCAACAATGCTGTATAATTTCAGATAACAATGATTCTCTGGCACCACTTTACGAAGTTGATGAACGATTCTTTGATCAGAAGATAAAAGAGTTGGTGTTGCGATACAACTACACTCTGAATCAGAAAGGGATCTATGAAGCTATCAAGTACATGTACACTTACTGGCCTGACCCAACAAATAAAACTCATCTTCGCGAACAGTACATACACGTAAGTAACAAGATATATAACTACTCTAAATGTGTGTCTTCTCAAGGAATTGACAATTATTAATTGTTATGTTTTTATTTAGATGGATTCTATTTTGGTTCTACTACAATGAAAAGATCTAAGTATTTGTACAGTTTTCTGTTACAACCATACTGTATGCTACTGATTATCTGTTGCAAAACTCTTTGTTATGTTTGTTATTTTACTGATGTTTGTATGTATTTTTTTTTTCCAAGTTTGATTTATTATGCTACAGCTCATTTCAAGGTTTTTGTCTCATTACGAGGTAATAAGTAATTACAGATTTTCTTTATAGAATCCCGAAATAGAAAATCTGACAAATATTATGTTTCCTGGGGTGGAGTGGAGAGTGGATTTTAATTCTCTTCCTATTTATGTTTTTTTTTTTTTTATACAAACCAACATTTTGAATATAACATTCTATCGCCTGTAAATTTTCAGTTATGGTCAATAGTGGAGGAAGAGAAAATATGAATGGATATGAAAAAAATTATTTCAGTCATAATAGTTTGTATTTATTATTAGGCCTATTTTACACATGAGCCTGTGCCACTTATGAAATAGGCCTACAAGTATCCAATGTGTGTTGTGTTCCAGATGTTATCAGATTTCTGGTATCGAGCGCCTGTTGACCAAATTGTCAAACTGCTGGTGGAGCAACATGTTCCAGTCTACATGTACGTCCTCAACACCACCATAGAGGCCTTCAGGTATCCAACACTAGACTAAACACTCATACTGAACATACAAATACTCTTCCCTATTGGTAACTTTGGTTGTTTTATTTTTGTTTTTGAATAGGTTAAATGTATTTGGAAATTTTTGGAGAACAATCTGAATCTGGCTATATTTTCATGATAGTAGGAAATAGTCAAAATGTTATCATAATCAGATGGTCACTGATTTTCCTGCAATGCTGGAGTCATCAGTTTTGAATATTAAAAAGTTTAAGAATTTATACAAAATAGAGGTTTATTTGGAACTAGATTTATTAAAGTTCATATGCAGATCAACTTTGATCTTGATCTTTTATTGGAATTCCTAGATTTTAGGTTTTATATTTACTGATCAAGAAGTTTTGGCTTTCATATTGATACTTTGATTAGGTGGTTTACTGTCCTAAATAATTGTTTTGTTTTGATTGTGTTCAGGTTCCCAGAATGGAGAAAATATCCTCATGATATTGAACACTATTTGCTGACTGGTGCACCCTTTATGGATATAGGTATGAAAGAATTTGACTTATTTTTATCTTAAATTTGAACATTACTTGTTATACTTTAAAAATATTATAGTTAACATGCTTGGTATCCCAACTACATTATAATTTTAAATTATGTTTTTAAGACCAAAAAGCTCTTGGCCTTTTTTTATTCTTGGTGTACGAAAGTAAAATAGTTTATATTATATTAACCCTGCTGTGTTTCTTGCTTTCTTCAGAGTTCTTCCCAGCAAAGCCGCGACTAGAACGCACAATGTGGACAGATAATGATCGCAACATGAGCCATTTCTTCATGAAAGCCTACAGCAACTTTGCCAGATTTGGGTAAGGGTGTATATACACTAGGTATAGGTTAAATTCTAACTGTGACAAATTTGACGATACCCTTGACTAACCTATGTGGCATGGAGTATTATGCCTTATTTCAACTAAATGTGTGTTTCTTAAAATTGAAGAGGACTTTTTAAAACCAAGGAATTTAAAATGAATAATTTGTCACTTTAGTATTGTCTTAGCCTTAACTTGGAACATGATATTTTAGAGTTTACTGAGCTGTGTAACTTCTGTTACAGTAACCCCACCCAGACCCAGATCCTGGGGTTGCACTTTGAGATGGCCAGGGATGGTTTGTTGAAGTACCTCAGTGTCAACACTACGTTCAACTCAAGTGTTCAGCTCAACTATCGCCAGACTGAGAGTGCCTTCTGGACCTGGTACCTGCCTACAGTAGTCGGCTACTTGGTGCCTACGTACCCTCCTTCCACTGAGGTGAGGTTGCTTTTAGGGGTCTGCGGGTCCCCGATTTTTTCGGGTCGGGTCGGGCCAGCGGAAGGCCCGAGAGACCGGGTCGGGTCAGAGATTTGTTTGGGCCAAGATCGGGTCGGGCCAAAAAAAATAATTATTAGGCTATTTTTAAAGTTATAATAAGTAATTTTCAAAGAAACACTCTTATATACATTATTACAGAGGAATTAAAATGTTAAAATTAGAATTAAATATTAAGTTTGCTCACGTTTAAGAACAAAGACACAACAGAGCAATTATTGCCTTACTGTCACTAGCCAGAGCCAGTCGTCTACTGACAAAACAAAAGCCGTGACGCAACAGTGCAAAGAAAAAAGTCAAAGTCAAAACAAAGACTATTTATCCAGAGGTACCAGTTTAATTATTTATTGTTTATTCCATACCTAGTTTAAATTATATTTTAGTATTTTATTTACATAATAAATTATAAACAAAAGAAATATCTGATATAGTGTACAGATCTGTATCTTGTTCTTTTATTTTCCTATTGTCCTTTTTGTCATTCAGTAACAAAACAAAACAACACTTCTGATCGTCTGGTTCGGCATTTTATGGTCACCATTTAATTTTTTTTTTAAGTATCAAGTATCAACAAGTCTACAAAGAGGTTAGGCCTAAATATTTTATAATTTTATGAAAGTTTTCATCAGTAAAATTATTTTTTCCTTAAGTTAGATTGAGTTTCAAAAAAGATATTTCTAAGATCCAATACAAAATATTTACAAGACACAAACTACCATGAATTAATTTCTTTGGAAATTATCCGTAACAGTTTTATATTTTTGAATAAAGAAAATATATCTTTTTGTCTCTACTTCCTTGTTTTGTTACTTGTATTTTGTCAGCAATTGGAACAACCGGGTGGCGTAATAGTGGTGGGGGAGGGGGAGGGTCTATGACCTTGAGTGTCCCCGGGGCCTGGCTCGGGTTGTGTAAGATGGGAGGGGAGGGGAGGGGAGGGTCTGTAACCTTGAGTGTCCCCGGGCCCGGCTGTGAGAGTGATTCATGGTTTTTTGTTTACATTCTACTACCCTTCCTTCCGAGAAAAAGACCCTAAAGTTTCAAAAACATTGACTTAACAGTATAAAAACATTGAGTTGTGTTGCTAATTAGGGCACTATAATGTCTCTGCTGTCTGCTTATGTTGCCAAATTAGCATTTAACTTTCTTTTCTCTTGATTTAATATAATTTTCTATATATTAAGAGTTCCTTTTCGGGTACCTAATAATTGTGATATTGTTTGACTTGAGTTTATGGATTTTTAATTCTTTTCATTTATTAGCTAAAATCAGTTGTTTTAGGATTTTAATCTCTTGCAATACCTATAACTGTGCCTATAACTGTGTATCTATAACTGTGTATGACATGATATGCAATTTTTACAGTCTTTACTATAACTATACCATAAACAATGTATGTGTGTTATTTATTGTTTTAGAGTTTTATAGTAAATTAGTTTACACAATATCTTTTCTTCAATGAGTTCTCCACTTGTCATGTTGCTTAGTCTATTACTATTTTAGGCCCTATAAAAAATAATTCCTATGTAAAGCTGTAGGCATACTAATGCCAGTAATAGATAATTCTTTATTTATGATGATGTAACTAATAATGCTATTGTAAGTGTGAGAGGAGGTTAGGAGGCAGGGAATGAATGATTCATATTGCATGGTGGAAACATAGAATTTTTATTTTCTTCTTGCTTGCAGTCTTGAAGCCACAGGCCCTAAACTTGTGATAACGTTAATTGATTTGTTTATGATCCATTTATATTAAGTTCCATTACAAACTTGTTATATAGCTGTTTAGATATTTCAACAGTTATGGAAATGGGAAAGAATGGCTTGATAAAAAAAAATTATTTTCTTCTTTCTTGCAGTTGAGGCAACTCGAACTCCTAAGCTGTAAATAAGTTATGAACATGAAATAATATACATAAATACAATCTTTTTCCATATGTTATTTTCAAGTAATATTATAAACACAGATAGGAGTTAAAAAAATAAAAAAAATCCGGTAATTAATAATTTTTGGCCCGACCCGATTTTGGCCCGAAACCCGAGGACCAAAATTATTGGCCCGACCCGACCCGACCCGAACCAAAAAAGTCTGACCCGCAGACCCCTAGTTGCTTTAGTGTGTTACTTTAGGTGAATAACTTATAGTGAAGAATGCATGAAAGCTCGCTTGGTTGTGGTTGTGTTGTGCCGTAGTAGAGGAGTATCTCCATTGATTATATACACAATGGCTGTTATGATTAATGCAGTAGTCTGTGTATCAGGTAAGTGGCAAAGCAACAATTAGGAAGGAATAACAGGAAGGCTCCCAACACTGAAAGTTACACCACTAGACGCAAGTGGCATTAAACTAATCTGACGGTAATTAACTGTTGAGATGAATGTAAAATATAACAAAATCGACAAAAGTGGTAGGCGAAGAGTTTCTTGTGTGCGTGCACATCCTGCTTGCCACTCTAATTGACACAATATATACTTAAAGTACCAGCCTAAGATGTCTTTTGCATTTTTAACTCAAACTACTTTTTCATGACACTTCTCCCTAAATACGTTTTCTTGTTGCAATTGTAAAATCATTGTCCTAACATCTACTTTTCATATCCCAAACTCCTGATATTTTTTTTCTGAAGAGCAAGATTCACACTCAAATTTTTGAGAGCTAGTGCTATCTAGCTAAGCAATGTGGTAACTGTGTGGTCTTCATTGCAATCAACTGACTTTGTATTGTTCTCTTTTTGTTTCATTTAGATGGCTGGGTTGTAAGATCATACTAGTCAATAGTATCTATACCAATGCTATTGTGCCACAAAATGTTGTTTTTTGTTGTCTTAATTCATTTCATGATGTTGATGGATGGTGGTGGTTGTGATGGTGATGAAATGAACTGAAAAATGTAGTTATTTAAGAGGCAAAGTTAGTACTTGCAAGTCCTCTGTACCACTTAACCTCTAAAAGTTATGCCTCTATGATGAGTATGATGATGATGATGATGATTAATGCTGTTACTGACTGTTAACAGTATTGGTGGGAGCCCAAAGAACCACTACAGATTGCCTTCTGGTCCATGTCCACGGTAAACCTGGTCTTGGTGGTGCTTATATTTATCTTCTGCATTCTCTGGAGGAATGCAAAAAGGTCAGTTAACAATTCATCTTTATTTTTAGCTGTAGTTCATTTATACATTGCTGTTTAGATGTGTGTGTGTGTGTATGATGTATATATATATATATATTATGTTTATAAACCAGCAAAATGTTCTCTTTTGTTAAATGTTTTTTTTAACAAAACAAGTTAAAAAAAAAGGATATGGAAAGTAAATAACATGTACAATGCTGATCAAGAAGTTATTTAAAAAGGATACCCATGATAATTTATACATTGATTATTAATCCAATCAATCTTTGACTGGTTACAGAGAATCACTGTACTACAATGGGGACATGCTGATGATGTCCGAAGGCGACCGGATGGAAGGCATCGAGAACAACATCCAGAGTCATCAGCGGAGCACCAGTAACATCTACAGCATGGAGTACCGGGATGCCCCCGCCAAGCAGCCCCTACCTCGGCGGACACCTTCCAACCCCTCACTGCGGACAGGGAGCAACACCTCACTCAGCAAGGAGGTGAGCAACAGCCCCGCCGGGCCCAGGAAGAAGACAACCCCGGTGGCCGCCAAGCGGTCCATCACCAAGGTGGATAAGGTGGGCGTCCCACAGACTGATGTGTGAAAACCCTGGCGGATGTGACCAAAACAAAAATTGTGCTAAGCACAAAAGTTGGTTAAAACTTGTTGGTGACCGTAGTTAAAAAACTATAAACACTTTTTCCGTAAACAATTTTGGCTTGGAAATTAGTTGTCGGATATCCCATAGCATTCACTGATAGGACCCCAGAACTTAAAGACCATTGCTAAATTTGATTAAACCTAAGTATAAACCTAGGATTAGGCTCTAGTCTAGGGTTGTTTTTCACGTTACTTCAGGCCATGCCTTGGACATCATCACTAAAGAAAATGCATTGGTGATTAGCAATATTTGAACTCGGGACCTCGAGGACCAAAGCTCCGTGCTCTACCACTAGACCTGCTCTCTCCCTAACATAAAAACTTAAGATAAACCTAGGTTAAATGCATGTACTTGAATGTACCACAAAACTAGGGTTTTTTTCTCTACAAGAACATTAGCAACTGTTTGGACTATTACAATTTAATTAAAGCAACCCTCACTTGTGAGTTGGGTACTTTAAACTAAATATGGGTATGCGTTTAGAGACATCTTTGGGTACTTTTGTTACTGAATAAAACCAGCTATTTTAATATAGATTAATTTTTTTATCATAAAAAATCTACTGTATTTGAATGCTGATAGAGTCCTTAACAATCAAGTGTTGGCCCAACATTTGTTCTTGTTCTGTTAACATTCTTATATAGAAACAATCTTCTAAAACTAAAAGCAATCAAAATTGAAAGAAAAAATTAGCCTACAGAAACACACTTTAATGTTATTGCACATAACTAGCCTCAGAGCTTACAAGGCAGCAGGAAGATCACTTTCAGTTTGTTATCTAATATCAGTGACAAGACCTACATCCATTATAGAGTTGTTGTTTTCCCTGTATTTTGTTTAAAGGAACATCAAACTCATGTTCCGGTAATTTTGCATTATTAATTTGTATTGCTTCAAGCTTTAGTATCTTACTAAATTGTTAATATTGTAACTGAAAGCCACATGGCAGCCTTAAACTTATTGTTTGCCTTAAACAGGACCTAACAGCCCTTTTTACCTTGTTAAAAGCTATTTCCTTGTGAAAACATGCATCAATTTATGAGGCAGAGTATTATCAACTAATCAATGAACGATTTAATAATTTTTATTTTGAGACTTACACTCACTTTTTCCATCGCAATGTGTTCATTAAATTAATGTGATATATTGTATATTTGTTTTAGTTTAATTATTTAGAGATATTTGTAAAGATTTATTTTAAGATGTTTAATTAGTATTTGTATTTTATCAAATAAGTGTTTTAATATTTTGTATATCCCTGATTAACATTTTTTATAAATATGGTCATTTTAGGTACTGTATCAACAATTCAATATTTTGTTATTTTACAATTTTGAGTTATTAGAGCCGACATAAAATAATGTTTTATAAAATAATTTCTTATCGTGAAAGATTATTTTTCATAACTTTATTTCAAATAGGCCTAGGTGATAAATTTTACTATTTTTCACTTACAACATAATATGCTCACTATGTTTTAAATAATTTGTTAACATATTTTCAGGATGTTCCAAATATTTTATGGAGTTCAAATATATTTTTGTATAGATTAAGATTATACTGATGTTTATTTTATTTTGGTTTGTTATATTCTTAGTTCTTAGGTACCGGTTTAGAACTAAGATCTCACATCTATTTATGAGATTTATATGACATTGTCTCGGAAAGTAACAACATACTTTTAATCCCCAGATGACAAAATTATAAAAGTTTAAAACAACCGTATTTATATGTAAAAATATGTATACTTAAACAAAATACATTATGGTGTGATAATAATGTGCCTATAGAGTACTGTACTGAATTTATTTTTTTACCGCTTGAGAGTAAAATGCACCTATACATGTTCTTCTTACTTTATGTAAGATTGTATATAGTTTTTAATTCAATGCTGCACATGTATAAAGTATTATTTACTTAAGTTACTTCACATAATATTTTGTAATATTATCATAGTTATTATTTTTTAATTCTTTTTGCTAAGATAGCTTTGACACCATTAAACAAAAGTATAATGTTATCATGTAAAATATGTTTTGAAGTAACATATTTTACAATTAACTAGATATGCTACCCATAAAAAGTAGACATCCCATTTGCATGTAAAAGCTGACACCAGAGTTAAAATAAAAATAACTTCAATTCATCTTGTCTATAAAATGCAGTTTTTATTCTTATGGACCAACTTGTTATTCATGCCTAACTTAAAAGGCACTTACTTTAAAGTAGGGATGTGTCGATTCTCAATTAGACATTGTTATCAACATCGGTATTATTGTAATTGACTTTTCACCTTTTGGTATCGCTAATCAATAAATTTGTTGTATCGAGACATTTTTACTGTAAACCATAGCATGTTTATTTTACCATCAACTATTAAAAGTAAGAGAATATTAAACTTTAATCAAAGCACACTTATTAATAGACTCTTTCAACTGTATTCTTGAAATAAAAGAAATAAACAGGTTACAGCTGGTCCATATAAATGGGATGTCTCCTTCGGGTCTGACTTAGGGGAGGTACGATTGAGGCATTAGTTCAAAATTCCTTCGTGAACAGGGCTGTAGTAGAGAGCATTTTGGCAATGAAGGTTTACTAATCGCAAAAATAGTTCTGTCCATAAAATAAAATTATAAATGCCTCAAATTCAATTTTATAATTTGGTTTTTATAAAATTAGTATCATAACCTAACCGAACTAACCAAACTTTCTGATAATGAAATAATATAGAAAAAGTTTATTAATATCAAAAATAATTCTGTTCATTAAATAAAACTAGTGATTGCTCAATTAAAATTTTATAATGACTTAATAATAAAATTAAACTGTCATAACCGAACCAAACCAACCAAACTTGCTGATAATGAAAAAATCTTGGTCAAAAGTTAGTGCCACCAGCGGGATTCGAACCTGGGACTCTCAGCACATCAGCCCGGCACGCTCGACGATGGCTGCAAACCGTATTGTTACGTAATGGTGTTCCCTCAGCTAATGAGAAGCCCACAGCTGTCATCCTAAGCTCATCTATACCTCCCCTGAGTAAATATCTCCTTCAGAATGCCAAGTCAATGACTTTATATTCCTATGAAAAACATTGGTTTGTTCTTAATTAGTTGTAATGAAATGACATGCCGTCCATTGTTGAAGATTAGCCTCCCAGGGCATTACTTAATTTAAGTTTTAATAGTTTGAAGTTTATCTTTAACATTCCATGTATAGTATAAATTGAAATTGATCTCTATAGTATTTTTCAGTGAAGGCTGTTGATATAATTTACACATTCCATCTCTTAATAGATTATATTTTTTAATTACTCTCCTGTATTAATTTTGTTGTTGAAAAGCAAAAATTTTAAATATATGTATTATCAATTAAATCTATTTTAAAACTTTTATAATTATTATCATACATAATAATACATAGCTTGTTCATGAAATTAAAACTTTGATACTTTTTTAGATTTGAATACCTGTTAAAATAGTTTTACTTTTCATTCAGAGAATTAATATTTAAATAAAAACTTATTTTGTTTGCTAGTTTAAAATATTTGTAGGTTTCAAGGAGGTTTTAGGCCTATTAGAACAAATATTTGACAATTAATTAATTACATAATTTTTTTTTACTGTTCTGTTTAAGCCTGGTATTTTATTTATTAAGTTTTTTTATGTAAGACTATTTTACTTGCGTATTTCAAATAGACTTAAATGAAGAGTATTAGCTGTTTGAAAACATCAATGTACGACTAATCATTGCAAAGCAATGGAGTCAATTTTGCAAGCAGTACAAAGTCATTGTTCGGTAGTACATTTATTTTATTCAAATAGTGTTGAGTTATTTTTCATTAATGATTTTTTTACCTTGCTTTTCAATATACAGTTACACAGTAAAATTTATTTTTAGCTGTAAAAGTAAAAATGCTAAGCTGTAAAAATGTACAAAATGCCCAGACCAATCAAGAGAATCAAAATGAGTGTCTTGTAAAACTTAATGACTAGTTTTAACTGATTTACTTTTAAAGAGATATACATAATATTTTATTCTATTTTGCTTTTAGTGAAATATTTACAAATGTTTGATGTAATAGTGCAATAATTGTGCCTTTGATTCCATATTTATACATGAATAAAAAGAGTTTTATACTTCCTGTGAAAATTGTTTTATTTGAATGTTTTACCCAAAGTATTTATTTTATCTAATTGTAGAAAGTCTTTAGCGACGTTATATTAAATTTGTCTACAACTTATTCAAGAATTTGTTTAAATTCTGTTCATTAAATTAGCTTTGATTATTTATAATAGTTAGTGTGACGCAAACAGTTGTGTTTCTTAGAAATAAATTAGAATAATTAAGACTTTATTTCTGTTTAGTAAAAAATTAAAATAAAAAAACATATTTCTCAAACCATAAAACATATTTCCATCTGTGATAATCAAACGTCTTATTATTTTGTATTGTTCTTATTTTTAATTCCTAAACCATATGTTCCACAAAAATATTTGTTAAAGTAAACAAGAAAAACAAAACAGTGAACTTTGACATGGTTAACAAAAACTTAATTTCGTTTAAAAAACACGAAGACAGGGAGTTGGCTGCAAAAACCTGTTTTGAAACAACTTCTGTTGATATAGAAACTCCTCAGACAATGATTCTGTTACTTGAAAGCAAAGAAGATATGGTTCTGCTGAAGGTACTGTAGACTGACTTAAGTTGGACCCATAAGCCTAGGGATACTTTTAGCTTAGTTATGCTTACTGTAAAAATATATTTTCTCTCATCTACACATAAGTTTTGGTAAACACACACACGAATAGGATGGGTACAAAAAGTAGCAAAATAGCCTGACTTGAAATGCAACTCACTGCATACATCAGAGATGTTCACTGTATTTTTCCTCTTCCTCCAAGCTCTCTCCTAGCTCAGATACATGAACTATGAATAGCACACTGTACATTATAGAGATGGACACAAACCCTGATCTATGTTGGTGTCTTTTGCCTGTAAAGGCAACTCCTTTTATTAAATCTAACAGTCCACTTTTAACAAACAACAATACTGGTGCACCTTCTGCTTGACTCTGACAGTTTTCAGCCATTTTCTTTGAATTGTGATCATAAAACCCTCTAATAAAATTAGTGAATATTCTATGTGGTAGATGAAAAGCAAGCATGACTTGATAAAATGTATTGGATCAAAATCTCCAATGTTTACCCTAAACTTTGACCTAGGATCTATCATTTTATTCTTTCGTCTTGAATAACAAGTAAATTTGTATTTTGAAGAATAAATATAAAATGCAATTGCAAAACTTTCAAATGTAAAATATTCACTACCTATTTTAACGTAACTTCAGTTATTTTTACTTTTTAGGCATTATCATCTCTAGATAAGTTTGCTGGTAAACTTGAACAAAATGCTAAGGTACTACATGAAGAGGGAGTTTTGAAATCACTTACACCATTATTGGAACACTCTAATCTCTATATCCAAAGATTTTCAACCAAGCTGTTATCAGAACTCTGCTTTAACCAAGCCATTGTTAACCAATTGTTAGAAGAATTTGATGGGTTACTTTTGAATATGTTAAATCTCTTACATAAGGTAAGTTTATACATCTGAATTTTAAATCTGCCAGTTTACCCGGAACTAATATTTAATTTAAGTACCGTACACGTAATAATTACAATTATTGTAAAACAACAATCTTGAGATACACAGAACATCTCCCCCCTTGATACACTTACTCTGTATTCAAAATTAGTAAACAAATTGTACAAAAAATGTAGGTATCACTTTTGTGTGTAACATTTAGGATGAACATTGCTAGGATCATACTGTAAGTGTTTTTAGATTTCTATAGCTAAAAAACATAGCCGAATTGCATTTGTTTTCTTTTAAGTTTTTATAGTGATTCTAAATTCACTCATTAACACTTTAAATTCTTTTCAGGTAAATGATTCTTTTGTCAAAGAATTTAGTGCATCCGTAGTTGCAGAACTAACTAAGACAAGGCATGGATATGATCAGCTTATTGAGACAAATATGATCAACATTTTGATCCCTTTACTGTCGTCACCAGATCCCGATGTACAATATAACTGTTTAAAGGTAAATTTGTAGCCTATAAATTTGTGTATGATTTTTTTAGTTTATCAAACAGAAACAAAATATTTTACTACCCTACACATATTTTTTGAAGGGAAATCTTTAATCCACGGACACTACTTGCCTCTAAGACCTATCATTTCCTTTTGATATTTAATTGTCTATCTGGTATTTTAATGTGTTGCCTAATGATTTAATTTTGTTCCTTACAGATAATATTTTAATACTGATTATCTTTCTTGCAGTTAGTCTGTGCTTCTATATTGACTTTTTTTCCAACAGATTTACTTTATTTCATTTTTTACTTTATTCCTTACAGATCATACAAAATATTATAGTTGAGCCGAATGATAAAACAGTGCTCACTGAAGATAGCAGCTTTTCAGTCAAGCCATTTGTTAACCTTTTGTCAAGCGAATATGTTGCTATTCAAAATACCACTTTGGATATATTGCATCGTCTCACGGAACAAACCAAGCTGAACCCAATCCCTAAACAGTTTCAAGATGCTGGAGGAGTGGTGAAGCTTTTGGCAATAGTCAAAGTATGTAATTTGGTCCTTAAAAGTTCAGAAACATTTGTAACGCACTTAATAATGTGTTTATAAAGTTGTAGTGTTAAAAAATGGAAAGAAGTGTTAAAATACATGATAAGAATTTTTGAAGCCACTAAACATTGTGGCTATAAGTCTAAATAAATGTTGAATGAGTCATGGACTCATCTTACGGTGTCGCCACTTGTGTCTCCCATGATAACACTGGCCAGTTTTCAGTATTATATTCGTTAATCATATTTTTGTCGTGTATTTGTGTATGTGTTCTACATTGGTAACGACGTATATAACCTAATTGGATAGATGACTTTTGGTGTTTTTGTCACACCGATGGACTCCAGAACTCTGAGTAGAGTGTACCAGGACCACTTGACCACTTGAAAATCCATTTAGCTTAAATTTAGTGATCCAGAGGCTACTAGACAACATGAGACAAAATTAATACTACAATCTTTTTTTAGAACTACGAGTGGAAAGACATTCATGGTAAAGCGTTGGATGTGTTGGCTAATATTTACAACGATACAAGCATAGCACAAACCTTCCTCAAAGATGGCGTAATGCAGCTGATTGCTTACGTTGACTTGGCTAAGGACCCCCAGCTGAAGAAAGGAGCTGTTGAAGTTTTGTCGAAAATTGCAGAAACACCTTTGGGGAGAAAAGTAAGGTTTTATAGGAGAGTTTTATCAATGGTGATAGTTATTACCATATTGTTCCGTAGCAACAATGGTTGGGATCCAAAATTGTCTAAATGTAATGTAATAATAGCAAATACTTGAATACTTTAATACTTTTCACTGAAATGGTGACCATACGAAGGTAGGTATTTTAAGCCAAGTATGAATGTAAATGAGTGTAGAATGTAGATGGTGAGATTTTTGAGTGGCGCATCTGTCTACTTTAATCTTAGTGTTTATTGACATTTGTTCAAGTCCAAAATTCACTCATCCAACCTGAACCGTAACGATTTACCTACAGTATTTTTTTTTTTTTTTTTTTTTTTTTATGGCTACCTCTCCAATAGTCTGTTTGGTTAAGTTATAGAAATAAGTTTTTATTATAAATTAGGTTAAATTAGAAATTAAGTTTTTTGTTGTTTTATTTTGACGAGCGTAATCTTAAAAGTCTGGAGAAAAAGTGTAGGTACTTGACTATTTTGATAGAACCAACTATAAGCTCACATCTCAGAACGTGTATTTGGTAACAAAAACACAGCTGATTCCAGGACTACTGTGAATACAAAAAATAGGTATCTTGAAAGATAAATTCCTTGAACTTAAAAAATCTGAATGAATATGAGTGCTCACATAATAAGGTGGATGATCAGTATCTGAGAAAAATTAGTACCGGTAGCTGATATTTAAAAAATAAACCCAGTTGTCCTTGATCATTTTGGGCTTTTAGTAAATGGTCATGACTAAAGAAACAGCTGATCTCCTAGTCAGTAACAATTAAAACTATCAACTCGTTCATTCCATGTACAATATTCACCACACACACCGCTCGGTGTCGGTGTTATATACATACATCCAATCTAATTGATTTGAAAAGATTACATCCCCCATGTTTTTTAGAAACCTAAAGAACAAAATCTCTTGTACTGGACTTTCACTGATGCCCACCATTGCTACTTTCTTCACAGGTGTTGTTGGACAGCGGTTACATACCTAGACTAGTGGAGATGTTGTCGGATCACGACGACGTGGTGTGTTCCGCAGCTTGTGTCACAGTTGCCAACCTCTGCCAGGACTTGGCATCTCTGCGCCAGTTGGCAGACCTACTTACAGTGCAGCAAGTGTTAAACATTCTGACAGTACCAGACAGATCCTGGCCTGCCCGAGGTGCAGCCATCCATACTCTCTACGAGATATTGAAAAGAGATTCTGATGCTTGTACTTACATTGCTGACCATTTTGAAATGGTAGGCCTATTTAAATTGTTTGGTTTGTGTTTGTAGAGCTTTTACTTAATTACAAACTAGTTGCTTTTGTTTATGTTCGTTGTTTCGTTAAACTTACTGTTGAATAATTATATTTAACATAGATTATAATGTCCTATACCGTACATTGTTCACAAAATTTAGGCGGTTTGAGGAGAAGCGATTCCATCCTCTCCACTTCACCTTAACAATGAAACAATAGCCTGATGTATACATTAAACTAAAAAAAATTGCAGGGAACCCAGGAAAACTTCTCCTTAAACCACCTAAATTTTGAGAACTGACTTCTAAATTTAAATAATTTTCTAACCATAAATAATAAAAACTGAAAAGCTGAGAAAAATTTTATTTTGTGATGATTTGAAACTTGTACTGACTTAAGCTGCTATATACAACGTAGAAATTTTACAAAGAAAATTTGTGTAACAAAATTGTTTATACATTCAATATTTTTTTGTTACCAAATGTATTAGTTTATTCTTGGTGGTTTAGTATATGCAGGAGATGACATATAATGAAAAAGTATTTCAAATTAAAATTATTTTTTCTTTTCATGTTTTTCAGGGTTTTATTGAGAAACTCCTAAATGAGTTTGATGAAAACGTGTCGCTGCAAGCAGCAGTGACAGCAGCTAACTGTGTTACTACACTGGCAGGTTATGCAGATCTACGAGAGAAAATAATAAACGAGAACTTGATATCCAGCCTCCTGCATTGCTTCAAGGTAAAGTCCCAATGTTAACAGTCATGTATTATGAAATTGTATGTTACGTTACGGTACTCGTCTGGAAAATAGGTGTTTACCAGATGATTACCAACATGATTAGCATAGGAGTGCGGTGAACATATTTTGGACAATATTTTTTTGCCATAAAGAACCTAACAATACAAATGGACAATTTTCAAAATCCATTGTGTTTCCACCAACTTAAAACAGTGGCATAAATAACACCCCCGCAACCCCCACAACCCCCGCAGTACGGGGAGCGCCGAGGTCCAGGGGGCGCAAAGATCCGATTATCACCGCCCAAGGTGACGTTTCTTAAGCCGCGGGAGACAAGGATGATGTCTTCAAGAACGAAGAATACATTCATGATTTTGCCACAACCGCCAAAAAAGATTATGTCGTTTCCGTGACCGCGATAGACGGAGATGATGTCTACAAGACCACGGATGATGTACAAGATGTTGCCACAATCACGGTAAACGATGATGATTTTCAATGGAGACAGTACAAAATTTCCGCAAGAGTTTTTGGATTTTACTGCGATCACTGCTTTTGCTGTGATAATCGAGTAAAACATATGTGGTGATGTTTTGGTAGGGGGGCACCATCCACATGTTTTGAGGGGGGGGGGCGCTGCCTATTGTACTTACGCCACTGACTTAAGACATAACTGCAATCATAAATTCTCTGAGAAGAGTTATGTTTTTGATTATAACCACTGACTGTCAATAGCAAATCAAAGCAAATCTTTGACACATAAGTTAGTTGAGCTCATTATAGTTGCCTTTTAATTTTTTAAACTGAAAAAGTTGGTTTTCAGATTGATTCTCAGAATAAGTTTGACTGAGTGGTCGTGATCACTAAATTCATTGACCACTTGTACAGTTCACTTTTTCAATAAGTATTAGACAAGAGGACAGGCATATTGTCCTTCAGAATAAACTTTGGATTGGTTATAAACTTTACTTTTAAAAAGTTGTACAGGAACTACAGCTTGTATGGATTTAATTAAGTATAATCTCTGTGTCAGGACTATCCCCAAGACACGTCAGTGTTGAAGCTAGCTGTGTGTGAGACGTTGTGTAGTCTACTGAGTGAGTTACGGACACAGGACCTGTTACACAACCTAGACAGTCTGTCTGTGGTGTGGTACAGCATCACCAAACATCACAACAACATTCAGTTGCTACAGTCTGCAGCTACTTTTGTACATCTTTGTGTTTCGGGAGACAAACGGTTTACACCCACTCTGCTGCGGCTTGGAGTTTTGAACTGGTATGAATCCTAAGTACATCTGATCATAGTTAATTACAAGGCTTATCCGTAAATTAAGGTCTCCTGAACTCCTGCTAAGCAAACTAGTTCTGAGACAGTTATTTTACTTCATTCACAACTTTTCTATGTGACTCCTCTGTGTGATGATTAGTCTCCTCCCAAAAAGTACTACCCCATAGCGTTATGGAATTAGATTCTGTGTGGGTTGATTCTGTCTAAGGTATCAACCGCTATTAAAGTACATTACCATTACCAGTTTATGGCTGAGGATAAGGTAAGGTTTTTGGGCATGGATAATCTTTGTATGAGATGGAGAGTTAAATTATCAATTAGTTGAGATGGGGACGCCACCTAGGTGTGTATTTTAAATCCACAAGTGAAGTATGAGTGGATAATGTTGTGAGATGATTGTGTAGCTTTGTTACTGACTAAGATCAACTGTTTCATTAACTGCATAAACGGAATATGAACCATTTTCCACAGGTTGTTGTCACAACGAAGTCTCAGATACGATTGCCCAGCCTGGGAAATGGCTCTGGAAATGGTTTTCAACCATTTTCCTCCAATCAAGTTCGCATTCACAGGACGACTTGACATGACAGACGTAACAGGAGATTGTTTCTACATCACTCGAGTCTCGCTAACTCGCCAACAGCTCGATAACAACATGTTTCCAATCTTGGAAGACTTGGTATCAGACAAGTGCTGTCCAATGTGGACTCTTTATTTGGCTAACTTTGGAAATCTTAATAGACAAGAAGGTAATTAAATCTATCTATCTATATATTAATAGGCAAGCATGTTTCTTTAAAACCTTTTTTCTCAGCTTTTGTGCATCGTGGGGTAAATCTGCGCATACCGTTAGAAAGCAATTTTCCTGTAGGTGTGCAGAATCCCTTTATAAAATTAAATAGGCTCAAAGATAAGCACAAAAAATGAGTTTAAAAATTTGAAAATATTAACATGGATCTTATGCGTTGCCATGCTGGTGACGAAATAACAACGAAATATAAACAGAAAATCAAAACAAATGGAAGAAACTCCAATCACATGTTTTATTTACAGTGTGGGGTGAAAATAGAAAAGTGAGTACATTACATATTTTTGGTCGAGTTTCGACCACTGGACCACCTCTCGTACTTATTTAATACGCAAGCAAGATTTTTGTGACAATTACTCCTCCGAAACTACTGAACCGATTGACATGTTTTTGGTGTCATTGGAAAGAGCGTAACGTGAAGTTGTGCAGGAAACTTTCTTTTTAGGTAAATAATTAGAGAGTGAGGCCCTGGGGCCCTTTAAAGTTTCGTATTTCTCCATAAGATTAACATGGGAAACAAAGATTGTTTTGAAACTCCAGCTGTTGTCAGAAATTAAATATTAATAATTGGTCTCCATGGAAGCATGAGAAAATTCACCATGTTTACATTTGCTTTGACATTTAAATGTAAACAACCAGAACTGTCAAATGCCTATTTTACAATTTCAGACAGCTGATCTAGAAAAATAAAATAACTATGTGGTAGGTTTATTTAATCTTAAACTTTATGATAGATTATTTATTATAAATATATTTTCAATGATTATGAAACAGATTTTTCCCGTTGCGAAGCAAAATTTAAAAGTGAGAAGAAGAACACATGTTAATTGTAAACAGTCAATGTGTAAATGATCTATGTTGTTGGATATTGGTTTGTGTTTAATGATATAAATGATAAAATTTGTATTTTAAGGATTTGGCATATGAGTAAGCATGTGATAAATAACACCATTTCAGAGTTCTGCCAGTTTTTGAGTAGAGTTTAAAGTAGCCTACACGTTATTGTCTACAAATTGGCTAAATAACTTAGGTACGGTACTTTATAAAAGCTGACAGCCTTTTTACGTTGACTTAAATTGCAAGATTACCTTTTCCCGTCCATAGGCAGTTTGATTGTTAAAAATAAACCCTATAAATTGAAATAGGACTGTTAAGTAAATTGTGAGTATTTCCATTAGTTAATAATCTTTTAGTTGACTCTTTTAAAATCATCGGAAATTATGACTGTTATTTGCTTTTAAACAAGTTATTGGTTTATAAATAAATCCTGTACTTCTTTGCAATTGCTCGATTTCGAGCAACATGTACACTAGTTTAAAATAAATTATAACTTAACATACGTTGGTTGATTTATTGAGAATATGTAAATGCCTGAAGTGCAATTGTCTTCAGTCTTGGTGTTTGTTTAGTTTGAAAGTTTCTTTTTGCTCTTCGGGGTAGGTAAGGAAAATTATAATGAATATTTATTTATTTATTTAATCTACTATGTAGCTTATTTAATATTCCAAAGAAAATAAGCTCAGAATTAAAACTTCATACTTGGATTGTTTTTTTGTAATTGCTACAGGTACATCTGTAATAAACTTGTTTTTACTTGAACATTTGATTATTCAAAACTAGCAAATTAAATTTAACCAGGCTCTCTAAACATTTCAATAATGGAAATCAACATTTCATCAACTGTTTTGTTTTACGCTATAAAAAGATGAATTATTTTTGTTTTAAGGTCCACAATTATTAGTGAAAACCTCTGTATCTAAAAAGGAATCCCTCAACCATTCAGAGAAAAGCAGAAGAAGCAGTGTAAGATCCTCTGTGGTCTCGTTTAATCGAGAAAAGATCCTTTCTCCAGATCAATATCTACTCAACTACGTCGATTCGTTAAAAGAAACCTTACAACAAAATGGATTTTCCACAGAACCTACCAAAAAGTAAGTAGGGTTATATAGATTGTATGTCAAAAAGAAGAGATTGAGCTGTTAAGCTCAAGGAAGAGCAAGTGGATTGTTTTGGATGTTTAGGGTCTGGGAGTCAAAGGTTTGGTGCAATATTTTAGGATCTAAAGGGTTAGGTTTTTAAGGTTAAATGTCTAATTTTGGGAATCTAAGACTGAGAGTTAAATTTTGGATATCATAGAGACTGATTTACCTATTTGGAAAAGAAAAAGGTCAGTAGCTTTCTCTGGATGAAAAAACTAACCTCCAATAAAATCCATTCAATATTTTAAAGTATATAATAGCTATTTACCTTACAAGTGTAGTAAGAGCGTTTTTACATCACGCAGGTGAAGGTTGTGCAACGAGCGGAAGCGAGTTGCATAATTTACCTAAGTGATGTAAACACGCTCTTGCGTAACGTGTAACGTACAAGATTTTACCTGACCCGACAATATACAGGAGGTTACGAACAATATTAATCATTATCCATTTCACTCATCTTCTAACAGTAAGGTTCATTTACAAACAAAAGCTAGGTTAGGAAAATTCTTATATAGCTAAAAGCTTTCACCAATACTTAACTATGAAAGCAAGAGAAATTTCCTTTGAGAGATTTAATAGACTTAATTCAACTCTATGGTATTCCATTATACTCAATGTTCCCAGCTAGTATTTATTCACTAAAAATTAATAAATAATTGTATCTTTCAGACACCATCATGCGTTAGATGAGGACACCATACGAGGAAAATCACGCGTTATTGGACAGTTTGTAGCAAAACAGATGAGTGGAATGGAAGAAAAGGAAGTGTGCTCCAACCATATGCTTGACTTGCACATCAATGAGCTTATAGTAATTTTTTTTATGTTGATTTTAAGTCAAAAGCACTGAGTTGTTTTCTGTGTAATCAGCTTAGAGGCAATCCTCTGAATTAGACCACAGAGAAGTAAGGTACAGAGGAAACATTCAACGGTACACGTAGGGCAAAGTCCCACACCGCTCTCCTCGCCCTCATGTACTACAACATTCAGGGTGGAGCAAGACCCTGTGCCCTGTAAGATAGGACTTTCCGCACACTGCTCGCCGTTCGGGCTCTTCCTTGCTTGTCTCAGGTATATTTCCGCCCCAAAATACCAGAGCTGAAAGCACACAGCTGTCCCATAAACTTGATTCCTTTGTACCTTACATTCTCTGTGATTAGACTTCAAAAATAGAGTCAGACTCTGTCTGTCTTGGGTATGTCTGCTAAGTATGAATCTATTATTATATCGTATAATTTTCAAAATACTAAATTAGCTTCAACCTTTAACACATTACAGGGCTTTAAATTTGGAATTAACGTCCTATTCCTCTAATAAAGTTTTTTCTGAGTGAAATCAACAGCATTAATGTTGAGTAAAAGTTTGAGGGATTATTTACGTTATTGTTCTAGTAATAACGAGGAGTGAGCTGGGTCTAGTGGTTAGAGCGTGGGCCTTTGGTTCCTGGGGTCCCGGGTTCAAATCCCGCCAAATCACCAATGGATTTTATCTAAGTGATAATGCCGTAGCCCTAGGTCTAGCCTGAAGTAATGTGTAAAACAATTCCGGCTCGAGCCTAGCGTCCTAGGAAATAAAACAATTTTCTATTAATCAAATTAAAATACTTGTTGTGCTGATAACATTATTCTGTAATTTCCGTTAGATGACCACTAGTTTCCTACCTAATGACCCATTTTTAAGTGTAAATTTTTTTTATCTTTTTCATAGCTGGGGTTGAGAAGACACAAACACAAGCAAACACAAAAACAGGGACACAAAAATATTTAATAAAGGATTTGGCACATGATCAGTCATGACTAATTACAATACAATACAATACAATACAATATTCTTTATTGTTAATTCGTCAAGAATTACAATAGTGTCAATACAATAGTGAATTGTACATGTTAATTTTCATAAAATTCCTTTATTGAGTAGAAGGGTCTTGCGATTAGCCACTTCTTCAACTCCTGGTGTAGCTTGTTGCCAGTCAGGTCTCTCAGGTAGTCAGGTAGATGGTTCCTCAGCTTGCAGCCGGTGTAGGAAGGTTTTTTCTCCCAAAGAGTTGTTCGGTGAACTGGTAGTGCAAATTTGGAGCCATGACGGGTGTTGTAGTGGTGCAGGTCTTGGTTTCTTGGGGGGTTTATTTCATTCACATACTTTATAGATTCAAGTATGTAGAGAGACACCACTGTGAGGATTCCTAGGTTTGCGAATGCTAGTCTGCAAGTCTGTGGTGGGACAAGGTTGGCGAGGGCTCTTATGGCTTTCTTTTGAAGGACAAGAATTCGATTCATATTTTTTGTTGAAGTTCCTCCCCACACTGTCAAGCCATATCTAAGATGCGACTCTACCAGTGCGAAGTAAGCTGTTTTGGCCACGGAGAGTCCGCCTATGTAGTTTATTCTTCTGACGACATATATTCCAGTACTGATTTTTTTGCTTAAGTGGTTGATGTGCTCTTTCCATGTTAGTTTGTTATCAAGGATAACACCGAGAAATTTTGTGTGGTTTTCTATTGTTACATCCTCTAATTGAGGGACTATGTCTTTTTTCTTACTGAAATTCAGAGTTGTAGTTTTTGTGGGGTTTATTGCTAAGTCATTGTTCTTTGAGTAGAGGATAGCTTTATTTAGGATCGATTTTGAATTAAGGTAAAGGTTTTGGGCTGTGTTGTCCTTGATCAAAATGGTTGTGTCATCTGCATACATGATTGCAACAGCATTTTCACTCTCAATTTGTTTGGGGAAGTCATTAGTCAATAAGATGAATAGAATCGGGCCTAATACAGAGCCTTGTGGAACTCCTCTCGTCTGCTTGCTTTTTGAAGATTTGAAACTTTCTGTGACTTCATTTGATGAGTTTTTCAGTTCCACAACTTGTGAACGTCCCGTTAGGTAGCTTTTGAACCATTCTAGCGCAGAGTTTCTTATACCGAGTCTTTCGAGTTTCTTGCAGATCAGGTCGTGGCCCAGGCAGTCAAAAGCTTTACTGTAATCAAGGAAGATGGCGGAAATGTATTGTTCGTTTTCTATCTGGTCTAGGACGTACTCAATTAGTGCTGTTATAGCTGAGGATGTAGATTTATTCTTCCGAAAGCCATGTTGGCTGTCAGTTAAGAGTTTGTTATGATTAAGATGTGCCATTAATCTAGCCAGAGCAATTTTTTCTATGATTTTAGAGAAACTGGAGATGAGAGAGATGGGCCTGTAGTTTTGAGCATTTTCAGTTGGTCCTTTTTTATGTTTGGGGTATATTTTACTGACTTTTATGGCGGATGGGAATTTGCCTTCTTTAAATGATTTATTTATAAGATAAACCAGAGGAGAGATGAGTTCTTGAGAGCAGTGCTTTATCATCTTAGAGGAAAACTCATCTATTCCACTTGATGTTTTGGCTTTTAGGGAGTTTATTATCGTTTTAACTTCTTTATAGGATGTTGAAGTTAGGGTAAGGTGTATTGGGCAGACTGGTTCCTCTCCATTCAGCACTGTTTCAGGGTCTATAACGATTGCTCTGTTTTGGTCAAGGGTATTTTCTGCTATATTTGAGAAGAATGTGTTGAAGTGTTCGGCCATTTCTTTTGTGTCGTTTGTGAGTTTGCCATTTATTTCTAATTCTGTAAGGGTTTTCTCTTCACATTTTCCTTTTCTTTCCTTGTTTATAACTTGCCATAGTGCTTTTGGTTTGTTGTCAGCTTGTTCTATGAAGCTAGCTGTTGAGGACATTTTTAGGTTTCTTAGTTTCATGTCGTATATCCTTTTTCTATTAATCATTTCTAATTTGTCTTCATTTCTGTTTGTTAACTCAAATTTTTGCAGAGCTTTTAAAAAGTTCTCTTTAAGGTATTTTGCTTCAGGATCGTAGTACTTCATTTGTTTTTTGTTTGTACTAATTTTAGTTTTCTTTAATGGGCATGTATAATCCAGTGCTGTTTGAAGAATATTATGAAATTTGTTGTAGGAGGTTTCAAGATTCGGTGAAGAGTAAACATGTTCCCAATTTTGTAGATGGAGGTGAGCCTTTAGATTGTTTAGGTTTGTGTTGTTTAGGCTTCTTTTCATTACAAATCTTTGGGAAGTGTCTTCTTGGTGTGTTTTCAGCAGGCATAGCTGCGCAGTGTGGTCAGATAGACCAGTATGCACAACTTGTCCAGTAATATACGCATATGGTATGTTTGAGCATATACAGTCTATTGAAGTGGCTGTGTCATGGGTTATTCTGGTGGCGTCTAGAGGAAATCTCCAGATGTTTTGTGTGGTTAACTCTTCTTCCAGCATGGTGTTTTTGGAATCTTGGGTGAGCCTGTCGATATTTATGTCACCGATGAGTATGAGGTTTTTCTTGTACTTCTTGTAGTTCTAGCGTGTCTGATAGGAGGTCAAGGGCAATTCTTGCATTACATGTTCACACACCATTTCACCCTCATCCCTCATTCATACCACTTAACTTGTTTAATGGATTTATTTATTTGTATATTTCATCCGTCATCTAGGTTGAGCTAGTGGACAACATCATCCCCGTGGGCCACCTCCGAGTAGGTCTTCACCTAGAGAGAGCGCTCCTGTTCAAGGTGTTGGCTGACAGGGTAGGTCTGCCGTGTAGTCTGGTAAGGGGGTGGCAGCGGGGCTGGGTGGAGGTGTGTTTGCCCCATCTTCCCCCCGCTCCACGCCCCGCCTACCCCGACAGTCTGCTAAGACCTAGCCACGTGGTGGATCTGATGAACAACCCTGGGGAACTCCTGCAGTTACAAAGCTACGAGGCTGATCTGTATTGCGGGGTCAAATCATGTTGATAATGGTTTATGATAGTAAAACTTATATTGTATTTGAAACCCCATTTAGTAATGTCTCCTTCTACATGGGAATTTGTATTATGATAAATGCGTTAATGATCTGCAGCATTAAATTGTGTGGATGTAGTTTGTGAAAAAGGTTACGAGTAAAATATTTGTTTGAATCCAACACTCGATTGTATTTTTATCATGTTTTTTTACCTCAGACTCCTGTCAATTGCTTTGTTTTGGTTCATACATTAGGAGACCAAATTCTTGAGATCTGAGATTGTTCAAATCAAACCATATCAAAAATCACAAAAATCTTTTTTTCAATTTGATAGTTATTTGTGTTTTTAACAATTTCTTACTTGAGACTTTGATATTACTGTGGATTGTATAGTGATTATAGTGCTTGCCGTAAAATGTGAAGGTTACTGGTTCAATCCCTACCAGGGTCCATTTTTGACAGAAGATGTCATTTTTTGTTGGGCTATCGATTTAATGATGATGTTTATCTAAAAAGATCAACAATAAAAATAGTAACAATTAAGACCAGCGTTTGGACAGTTCCATTACAAACAACTAAAACAATTAATTCATAATGCATAGTAATACAGAAAATGTTAATAAAAATGTTTCCATCTCGCTCTGACAGCATCTCTGTACCAGATTTCTGTCCAAACCATAAAAAGTCCATACAAAATTGAATGGATAGGTTTTAAAACGACACATTGCAGCTCCCAGGTTTTTCTGATGGGGTAATTATTGGTTGAAGAGACTTTTATTAATTAGTTGGCGGATCTTTTTGAAATGTGCTAACACGGATTAAGTGCAGTTGATCTCATTGCTCAAATGTTAATTGCAGATTGTCCTTGAAATTAAAATCTTGTAATCTTGTCAGTGACAAGATCTCCCTGTGGTCAATTTTGTAGATTATTGGTCAATGATGAATAGTGTTGTTTTGTAACTTAACTTTAGTATACATATGTTTGTTCTTTCTTAACACTAACAGTCTTAAATGAAACTGGAAAAAGTAATTTGACAGAACCATGACCAAATCACTAGTTATAGATAGAGTCAAGAGTGTTTAAGAATATACAATGAGATTACTGTATTTAAAATGTACCCCAAAGTAGAACCATTGACTATTGGATACTGAAAATTGTATTGATAATCAAAGATAGAACTGTGTCTCCTTTTGAACAAATTTTTATCCTACAGGGCTGTTGCACTCTGTACTGTTTTATTCTTGCATCTTAATGTAAAACCCCCCTTTACACAGATAGCATAGGGCAGACTTCTAAAAAAAACTAAAACATCTGCAATATGAATACAAATTTTAAAATGAAACTTAAATTTACTCATTTTTCTGGCCTGCATTGAGTTTTTCAAATATTTGATGTATCCCTACTGTTTTGGCTGCCTGTAACAAAACAGCTAACTAAATTTACAATTTATAACATTCAATACACTACGTCTGCAAAGTTTGTTCCCAGTAAGGCTTTTTTGTTCTGATAGATGTATACCTGATACATTCCTGTAGTATATACAGTAGGTGTGCAGATTTGCAAACTGGCTTTAGAATTTGATTAAAGCCATAACTCGAACAAAACATGAAAATCCTTTGTAAAAAAGGCATAAGGAAAAATTATGTATTTTAAAACAACATTTGTACAGCCTAAATCCTAGCCAGCATTGCTGCCAACTATATGGAAAATTGTATAAAACATAATATTTTGCAATGAATTTCAAATTCATAGCTAAAATTCTTTTTAACTTACCTTACATTGTTTTATGGTTATCAACTGAAGAAATTCATTAACAAAAGAAGAAATTTTGATTCAATTTTGTTGGAAACGTACAGATTCCCGTAATATTTAGATATGAAGAAACACTACATGTCATCTATTTGTTGGCTACCCTTGTTTTTGTTTGCCTCATTTTCAGGATATTCATGCCCCATTAACACTTATGAGAAGAAGATACAAAATTAGGGGGGCCACCAGTTGACCGACAAGATACTTGGTCGTCTTGCCACTAGACCGTCTTTTTTAATTAAATAGATAAATACTGAAAACCAGTACGTCGACAAGTTATTTCATCGTCAGTCCAGTTGACCGGCCTGTAAATCTAAATTATTATATACGAGAAACCAACTTGTCGTCAATCCTCCCGACCGACTTACCACTTGCTCGTCTTTTAGGTGGGGATGTGTTGAGCGGCAGTGCCAGCGGCGCGCGCAGCTGTGGAGGGCACTGCAGGCGTACCAACTTCTGTATCTTGTAGCGGCGGTTTTCATTCCGACGATTTTCAGCTATCACAATGCAGCGGACTAGCGAGGTTCTTATTACGTGTAATTGTTTGTTTCTCAATCGATATTTTGTTATACACAGTACAGTGAATATAAATAGGCCTATATTAGTTTACTTCAATGAAATAAATGTTTTATTTAGCTAAATAAATAAAAATACGCCGATTGAACAAATAAAATTGTTACAGACAACAGGAAGTCCTTAATATGATCAAAAAAGTGTTTATCTTTATTAAAAAATTACTGAAATTTGTAAACTTACTGCTGGCGACAAGGGTGGTGCCATACATAGGTTTATCAATAAATAAGATAAACATGGACAACCTTATGCAGCTATAAGTCAGGAAACATTTGTAGAAACATTAAAAAGCAATACCAATTTATGAAATATGATAAAATATTTACAGGAAATGTTGATTACTGTATATACATCGTGAGTATCTCCAGCAGTTACACACTGGTGATCTTTGAGTTGACTCTTTTAAACTCATTGATTATTACTTTTTTCGTTTTGAAATAAATTCTGTATTACTTTGAAATTGCTCGAATTCGAGCAACATGTACACGAGTTTGAATATTAAATTAACTAACATATTTATGTAATAGGAGGGTCAAATATTGTTAACAGTGGTGAGGTAACTACCGTTACATTTATTCAATTGAGAGATAAATAGAAATTGATAATACCGGTTATTTAAAGCTTTGTTGTCTATTTTTCCCTCTCTTAAAAAAATAAAATAAAGAATGAATTTAGACTTTTGGTGACATTAGTTTGTACTATTTCTCCTTAAATGACACTGCTGTCTTGGTAAGCAATAGTTATCTCTGTAAACTATTTATTTGCTGAAGTGCACAGTGTGCTACTTAGCCTGAGAAACATCTTTTGTTTTATGATTTTGTTGTAGGCCTATTGAAAACCTTGTCTAGAAGGAATTCCCATTGCCTGTGTTACCGGGGAGAAGTTTTTCTTAGTAAAGTCTGTAGACGTCTTCGGTTTTACACAGAAACATGTAATTATAATTGAAGAAGTACATGTTTTATCCTCTCATGTTGTTGCGTGGACAATACTATGGTGATTCAATTCTGTGTACTTCAATTGTCTAACTGGCCCTAACTGACGCATCCTTGTTTTTTTTTTACTAAATAATGTAGTCTTTACTTCCGTGGATCTTTGCGTTTTATTGTTTAACTGTCCTCAAGTAAGTCTGTGTTCTGAGTAAGTACTTCAAATGCACGGCACTACTGTATATTCAGATTTTCTAATGAACTATCATAGATAAAAGGAGTATAGAAATGTATGTATGACAGAGTATGTCTACTCCTTTTATCTATGGTACTATTTCCAAGTTCATCTGGACGACCCTGCAAATCGTTTCTATTAAAAAAAATTGTATTTGGTTTATGTTTATGAACTTGTATGAGTGTTGTTAACTAAAGCTAAATTCACATCAAATTAATTAATTTAATTTATTTTAATAGTATTTCTAATTAATTTCAGTTTTAAGAACATATAGTAAATAAATCCTTGTTGAAACGGCTGTACTATCCATGCAATTATTGTCAAACTATATGTTCAAAGATTCCTGGACGGCAATGTTATAATACTAGTTGGAGCAGAGGTACTGGATCTAGGGTTAATACAGTTTTGTGACGTGTAAGGTATATCACTGCAGAAGTAGTTAGCTCAAGAATTATGACGCGGATGACAAAGATTGGTAGCTTTTGCTATAATTATAAAAAAAACCAAGTACATAAAATCATTCACAGTTTTTTTTTTCACAGTCTATTGAATAGCCTGCAGTTAAGTTCACTCTAATGAAGAATATAGACGTGGCCAGAGTTCCAAACGATTTAAGCAACAACTGTTTACATGATAGACTTTTTATCATGTTCTTAAGTTTACTAGATGCTTTACTTGATTATGTGTGTAAGAAAAAAACTAATTATCGATTGATTTTGGGGGGTGACTTCAACATTGATATACTTAAAGAGAATGTTACCAGTAATATGTTTCTCAATATACTTAAGTCATTCAATTTGTACTGTATAAATAGGGAGCCTACCAGAAACCTGAGTTGTCTAGATAACATAGCCACTAATTGTCATAAATCTCAATTTAAACAAGGAAAGTAGTTGGTAATAGCCGAGTTCACACATGCCTCCCCTCCGGTAATTAGTAATTACAATGAGTAATTACAATTAGTTTTTTTTTTTTGTAATGAGTTTTTTTTTTTTGTAATGAGTTTTTTTTTTTTTTGTAATGAGTATTTACAATTAGTTTTTTTTTTTTTTGTAATGAGTTTTTTTTTTTTGTAATGAGTATTTACAATTAGTTTTTTTTTATGAGTAATGAGTATTTACAATTAGTTTTTTTATGAGTAATGAGTATTTACAATTAGTTTTTTTTTTTTATGAGTTATTAAAATTTTTATATATAATTAAAATTATTTTTTTTGATAATGTGTAATTAAAATTATTTTTTTCGATAATGTGTAATTACCAATTAATACACATGTTGTAGGTGGCAGAGGGTACTCCTACCCCTTCCTTGATTTTTTAAGTGTAATTATTCTTTACATCTTGAGAAATCATCGTGATGTTGCTTCCCACACACTAATCCCAGGCGGGGGGTACTCATCCCCTCCAGTGTTGTGATCTTCTCACAAAGATAGAAAGGGAGCCTCGACAAGCTCTCCCTTCGCCACCCTCACCACATGTTTCAATATGATTTATGACGTCTAGACACGTGGGTGCGTTGGACTCAACAGAGAGGGTTCATCGCAGACACTATTACATCACTGTCTTAGCTAAGCTGAGACAGTATGGAATAGTTCTAATTATTAGTTTGTTTGTTTGTTTGTTTTTTTTTTTTATTTTTTATTTTTATTTTTTATTAATTTACATTATTGAGGAACCAGGAAGTCAAGCATTTAATATATTATATCTAACTTAATCCTACTAATACTAAAGCTATTGGAGTCCTCGGCTTCTTATCTCCGCGTCCAGGTTTACATATCGCTGCAACGCTATCCTTACCGTGTCCTGCGTGTGAGTGTCGCAATATGTCCGTAATTCCCATTCAAAGGCCACATCAGTCATCGCAGACATCAACTGTGATATACTCATTGTCTTCATTAAGGATTGTTCCCATCGTACTTCAACCTCGATGCTTCGATTAGAGTCATCTCACCAATATCATTGATGACATTGTCTTCAGCCTCCGCCGAAATAGAAGCATCGATTAACTGTTCATCATTAATATCACTTCCAAAGGACATCGTGATGTTTGCTGGAGTGTAGGACGAGAAATGACGCCAAGATGAGAGATCTCCGCTCTCATCCCCTCCCCCTCATCCCCATCAACCCCCCTCTCATCCCCTTCCTTCCAAATAACAAATCCCAGCCCTATATTAAAACATCATTCTGCTTCCATTACTCGTGTAGTGCGGACGGACTAATCACCAACCCACTTCTACAGTCGATAGGTGCATAGCAGCATCGAGATTTTGGATTAACCTCTCAATCATAAAATGTAAGTACATATCATTATGTATACAGTACTATATATTTATTGTTATGTATTTCATATTTAAACAAATGTAAAAAAGAAGTGACTAGAATTACTCCAGGTAATTAAATTTACTAGGAAGAAAAAGAGATAAATATATAACTTAATATCACACTTGGATTAAAAAGTTTGGATTTAATTTATATATATATATATATATATATATATATATATATATATATATATATATATAATGGTAGTAATACTATAAAGTAACAATATTACGAAAATAAATCCAATCTATCGTGAACTTAATATCATACTTGGATTAATAAGTTTAGATTTTAATTAATATAAATAGTTGTAATAGTACTATAAATCAACAATATTACAAAAAGAAATTGACTAAACAGAAGTGCTCTGATCGTAGCAAATAGTGAACGTAGAAAACTAATAAGATCAATTAACTAAAATGTATGAAATTAAAAATATTTCTCTTGGTTGAAAAAAACATTAAAATATTGCATCAAAGGTTTTTAGTATGTATATTAAAAGTATTTATTTATGTTTTCAGATCATGAATAATAACACCGTACGGCGTAGTTTCACTTGTGCCCTCTGCGACAAGGCATTTACGCGGAAGGACAATTTGATGCGACATACTAGAGTCACTCATGGTGGTACAACTGAAGCCTGCTCTACCTGCGGGACAACATTTAGGCGCAACGATGACTTAAAACGTCACATGCTAAGCACACATCGCCAACAGCCACAACAACCGGAGAACCCCGCATTTAGACAGAACATTGCTATTACTATCACAAGTAATCGGCTTGTACCATCATCCAGCGCTCCCGACTTCATCCCAAGACCTGGACCATCGACTGCCCCAGACTACATTCCAAGACCAGGACCATCGACTGCCCCAGACTGTCCGATGATAGCACAACCCACTGTACCTCACCTTATAGGTACGTTTTAAATAATATAATCACCAATAAACTGTACAATCGTTTTAATTAAATATAATTCGATACATAACCTTTAGTATGATAGCAATAGAGTATTGAATTATCTTTGAACTCTATTGTTAAAATACTAGTAGTAATTATATGCTTTATTCATTCATTTTATTTCAATACCAATTATTTCACAGTAAAAATATGAAATATATATTTATCTTTTGTCACTTTCCTTGTAGGCATACTATAACAAATTAATATATCATATTTCATTTTATTTCAAAACCAATACGTTTTACTATTTCACAGTAAAAATATGAAATATATATTTATCTTTTGTCACTTTCCTTGAACAATAACAAAACAATATAGTATATAGTATATAGTATATTCCTTATCATTACACTCTTTTGTTTAAAGTAAAAATATTTTTTTCATTAGGTTTTAGTGTACTTGTTCTTTTCTGCTTACTAGAAACGTCAGCGGGGCCGAGTCATACTCGGTTGTGGTTAATTGGGTTTAATCGTCAAAACAATACCAAAAATAGATATTTTATAATTTACGAAAATAATTTTATTACAAACAATAGACATCCAATCGCTGAAATAACAACAACTATATAACGTAAAAATACTATATGCAATTAAATAAATTGATATAAACTTCTATGATCTTGTTTATGTTTACGAACTACTCACACCGAATTGTTAGGATTAATTTTTTGTTGGTTTGTTTGATATAGGCTACACATGTGACGGTTGCGGGAAAACATTCTCCAGGAAGAATATCTTACGAACACATGCCCGCTTCAGCTGCAGAATTCATAGATCTGAGACAGCACTCAATCAGCCCTCACCCGCCTCACCATCCATCAACCTGTCATCACCTCAGTCGACTAGTGACGAGGATGATACTAATGACCAGGTCGAGATTCCTGACAATTTGGCTCCACAAGGGTTCGAGGAAATTGAGACGGCGTTCAAAGGTCGGCTTAAAACCTATTGTTTATCCGAGCCTGCCGAAAACACCGTATCACTGCTGGAGTTCCTCAATGACATTCGAGATAAGGTAATCACACTCATGCGGACTATATTAAATCACACTCATGCCATTAAGTGTAATATATTTGTAGAATGTGAATTTGTAAATGTTCATGGTGATACATGCAGGCGAGCTTTCAAAACTAAAAATGTACCTTTTTTTCAATCGTCTCACATTGACGAATTAGTGCAAGAGTTTATTCAAAATGTATTACTAGAAAAGGAAACATGTGAAATGAAAGGATCTGGCTGGAGCTTTATCAGGGTTTTGGACATGCAAATCCGTGTAAATGTCTATAGCCCGCTCAAAGGCAGTTCTTTCATTCAACTGCCGCATGATATCACCATTAAAAAAGCAACGGTTAATGTGCTAAACGATGCGGATGAACGTTGTTTTGAATATTCAATACTTTTCAAATATTTTGATAATCATCAACATCAACTAACACCTAACATGTTCACAGCAGAAATTAGAGAAAGAGCAAATTTAAACTTTAATGACTTAATTTTCCCTGTAAGCCTTAACCAAATCCGCACGTTTGAGCGCAATAATCCAGGTGTTAGTGTTAATGTGTATGGTCTGGATAAGAAGAAAAAGAATCATTTCATGGACCCGGACAAACACATTGTCTACCCTCTTCGTGTCGCAGATCGTGAGTTGGTCAATCACTTTGACCTACTCCTTATAACAAATGATGTCACCACCCACTACGTTTGGATCAAGAGCTTTACGAGATTGGTTTCATCCCAGCTGACTCTAAGAGGACATCGCCTTTACATATGTAAGCGCTGTTTTGCACACTTCGATAACCAGCCAACGAAGTTAGGTCTTAGAGGAGAGGAACGTCTTTTGGAGCATCAGCGATATTGTTTTAACAATGCTCCGTTAAGAACTGATCTTGCGGAAGACAAAACAATACATTTTAAAAATTTTGAACGCACTCAACGAAGTCGATTCACCATATACGCTGACTTTGAATGCGCACTCGTACCTCTTGAGCCTGAACAAACAATCGATCCTCCGCCAACTGTTCCACCGCCAGTATGGGATCCCGCATTAGCAAGAGGAGCACGTCGACACCGACCTGGTGAAATGCTCAATGCCAGAAATGTCCATGTACCATATGCATACGCCTATTACATTCGAGATGATAATAGAAATGTAAGTGATGGTGACACTGATGACAATGACCATACAGCTTTGACGTTCTCCAAATTGCGTCTGTACAGAGGTGAAGACGCCGCCCAGCACTTTATCAAATCGATACGGGATGACGTACAGAAGATTGGCGATATAGTGTATGGGCAACGTCTGCCGAATGACCCTCCACGGTTAACACAGGTGGAAGAGGATTCTTTCCGCGAGCAAACAGTATGCTACATATGCAAGCGAGAATTCACAATACTCGACCCCCGTGTTAGAGATCACGAACACTCTCCTCCCTATACTTACAGAGGAGCAGCACACCGTTCCTGTAATATCCGCCACAAGGAACAGGACACTATCAACATTTATCTCCACAATTTATCCAATTACGATGCTCACTTTATCATCAGAGAGCTATCCGTTGATAAAGGAAATATAAATGTACTCGCAAATACGGAGGAAAAGTATATCACATTCTCCAAACGATTTAAATATCCGGGAGCAGGTCGGCAAGGTGGTCTCAAACTACAATTTGTTGATTCCTATAGGTTAATGTCAAAAGCATTAGGGACATTAGCATCAATCCTGCCGGCCGATAAATTAAAAATTACAAAGTCACGCTACCCCAATCAAGAACAGTTTGATCTGCTTAGTAGGAAAGGTGTATTTCCGTATGAGTACATTTCATCGATGGAGGTACTCGAAGAAGATGTCCTTCCACCAAAGTGTGTATTTGGAGAAGGAGTGAGTGATGCGGATTACGAGCATGCGCAGCGAGTATGGGAGAAATTTGACTGTACGACCCTCGGACAGTATGCTGATATCTATTTGGCGACTGACGTATTGCTATTAGCGGATGTGTTCGAGGGATTCCGAGAGATGTGTCTAACACATTACGGATTGGACCCAGCGCGTTATTTAACACTACCATCATATGCTTGGGACGTAATGATGTTCAAGACAGATGTTATCCTTGATACCCTACAAGATATTGATATGTATCTGTTTTTTGAGAAGGGTATTCGAGGTGGACTGACCCAATGCGTTACTAGACACGTTGTTGCCAACAATAAGTTTACCAGAATGGAAACAATTGGCAATGACCGAGACGGTCAGAACGCAGCAGCATCAAGTGAATATTGCGATGAAAGAGATGACGATACATTTATAATGTATTATGACGCAAACAATCTTTATGGCTGGGCAATGTCGGAACTGCTCCCTCACTCCGAGTTTGAGTGGTTATCACGTCAGGAATGTGACGACTTGGACATTGGAAGAATTCCAACAGATGGTGAATATGGATATGTGCTGGAAGTAGATCTAGAATACCCCAGAGATCCAGCACTGCACGATCGACACAGGGATTTACCATTCTGTCCCGAGATATGCAAAGCACCGATTAATCAACTCCCATACTCGTTGGAGGAAATTATCAATAGTGGAGCAGGAAAATCGAAGAAACTAATGGCCACACTGATGGATAAGAGGGAATATGTAATTCACTATCGCTACCTACAACAAGCTATAGAGAATGGATTACGTGTAACTCGAATCCACAGAGTGATTCGTTTTAAACAGTCGGCATGGTTGAAACCGTACGTGACTATGAATACCGAACTTAGACAGCGTGCTGCAAATAAATTTGAGGTAGAAATGTTTAAACTTATGGTAAACGCTGTCTACGGTATGAGTCTTCAGAATGTGCGCAAACATCAAGATTTAAAGATTGCATCATCCCGCAAAACATATACAAAGTATGTAGCAAAAGCTAATTTCAATGACCGTATTTGGTTAAATGAGAACCTTGCCATACTGAATATGTCAAAAGTGCGGGTAGTACTGAGCAAACCCGTCTACGCAGGGATGTGCATTCTGGACCACAGTAAGAGGTGGATGTATGGTTTCCACTATGACATGGTAGATAGGTATGGAATCGATAGAATATCGATGATTTACATGGACACCGATGGCTGTCATTATTCAATACGTACTAAGAACGTATACCGCGACGTGTTAGAACATTTGGACGACTTTGACACCAGTAACTATCCCCGGAACCACATTTGTTACGACGGAGGAAACGCTAGAGTTCTGGGGAAGTTTAAGGACGAAGCTGCCGGTGTGGCCATTAAAATGTTCATTGGTCTGATGTCGAAGCTGTATTGTTTCACGTATAGCATCTTAACGTGTGCGCCTGAAGGAGACAACGGAGATGGTGCCAACTGTATACCGCCGCCTGTGAAGAGAGCAAAAGGGGTAAATAGAGCAGTAGTGAAGCGTGATCTCACCATAGAAGATTATTTGAATTGTCTGTACAATAAAACTACTAAAAGTACAGACAATCAACGTTTTCAAAGCCGTCACCACATTTTATACACTGTTGTGGTGAAGAAGCGCTCAATGGCACCGTTTGACGACAAACGATACGTAATGCCAGAAGATGGTATCAACACGCTACCTTGGGGACACTATGCAATACCACCATTAAGGGTACCACAGATACTTGAGGGACCTTAACTACTGCCACTGACCCTTTAGTGGATACGATACTCTCCAATTGCGCCACAACATCTGTCCCCATCATAACTGATATATTATTATTGATTAGTAGACCAAGGTCCGCATGAGTGTGATATTAGGTAGAGTTATTTATTGAACAGTCTTCATTAGTATTAGATTTTGAATACAATTCAAAGATGTTTTGATAAATAAATTCTTTAATTTTTTCCACTTCAAAGTCACGTGTAAATATTTCTAGTCACTGACTCCTCAAAAGTATGCATATATTTGTAAATAGTATTTTAGTTAATAAACAGATATATTTATTTCACAAATTCTGATTGTAATTATTTTCCTATCATTCATAGTATAATATTAGACTTTGATCAGTATTCATAGACTCTGAACAGAAATATTTTAATAATAATAAAGGGAAAAATCATTTTGTTTTCACATTTAAATAATCAGAGTCTATGCGCTTTAAACTAAAAATATGATAATAATGATGATGAACACAGGTAATAAAGTATAACAACTGAAAATATTGTTTGACAAAAGGAAAAAGTTTATTGGTAATAAAAAATATATATATATTTAAAAATATATATAATTTACAACAGTACAGTGATTAGTTTGTCTTGTGATACATTTGAGTAAAGAGTCTTTTGACGATTCTATCATTACGATCAGTAGTGTGTTCATCAAAGAGTTGAACAAAATCCATCATCTTCATACTGAAGTGTGTGCTGCAATACAGGAAAACCAAACAGTAGTGGGCGCAGACTGAAGACGTATCACCTTGAAGTCGGTATGGATTGTACAGGTAATGATGAGCGTTGTGTCGCAGGAATGTTTGATATAGTGGTAAGTATGGCGGTTGGCCGTAACTATCAAAATATTCAAGCATCCCCTCTCGATTCAAATAGAAAGCCACCCAGTGAGTCCCACCTTCATTGTGTGGATCAGTGTTTACAATTATTGCAGTGTGTGGTGAGATGCGTCGTGGGATTCTGTCAGCAGCGTAGACTCCAACATTGCGCACAGGAAGTGTGGCTAGATATTTTTCAATCTGTAGCGTGTTCATTCTACAGTATCATAACCAATAGTAGCAGTAGATGCTGTTTTTGTTGTACTGGTAGAGGTGCTAAAACAAGAACAGTAGTAGGATCTCGCATCTCCGCTGGTATCCAGACATTCGTCCAAATTTGTTGTCAAATGCAACCAACCACGTATTGCGACACAGTTGGTGAGCGCACATCGACTGTATGTAGACTTGTGATTTCGACATCGTAAAACGTTTGTTGACATTAAATTATTGATTGAAGTGATTGATTCGCAACCAATTGCACCGATATCGATTATATTGGTAGTAACAAAGTCCATCACATGATGACGCTTTAAATATTCTTTCTTTTCCAATCCCTTGACATAAACCGTCGGTCTTTTTGATATACAATCAGTCAATTTGTTAAAAAGTTCGTAGTACGCAATATCACCGAACTCCCATCGTAGTCCGTGGCAGTGTTTTGTGAGCCAGTAGCTTTCCCTCAGTTTTTCATCTGATAACTCTGATCGATCGTAAGGTGGTTTAGCAATATGATGCATAAGTAGTACGCCGGTGTCGGCTTCCAAGACGCAAACTTCCTTCAGTGTATATTCATTTTGATTGTCCTTGAAACATTGAATGTCCACAATGATGGGTGATGATATATTCAATTTCTTGAATGCTCTGCGTAAACGGTCCATCTCAAACGAATGTTTATTGAAGACTGATCGATTAACCGCCAAAGTCCACAATTACATTGCGCTGTCGATCAATCTCGATAACATTGTCAAACTCGGCATAAACCAAACAGTTGACAGTTTCGGTAAGCGCGTCGTCGAATCCGAGTTCCATTCGAACACTACCGTTACGCACCAGATTCCAATGTGTAGTGTCACTTGCAGATAAATCTGGTGTTAGGTCGAATGCCATCAGGCAGTATCCTTGACCAAAATCTTCCCTACTGATAACAGTGCCGGCATCGCTAAAATGTACACCAGAACCGGAGAACATCGAATGATATGCCATAACATATTTATCCTTTGATTTTTCAAAGTGGGGCTGTAACGGTTTTGATGGAACTTGTTCTCCGTCAACATATAGACAAAAGAAGTTTGTTTTAAAATGTTCGAAGTTGTAGGGATTCTTTTTAAAATCTCCATTGTATGCGGCGTTCGTAACCATTCCCACTATGACGCGTTTCGGCACTTGGCCGAGAAACATATTGTCCAAAGTCTTGTTACGTATTCCAGAGGGTAGTGTGAATGTTTTCAGCTCCACTCGTGTGATTGGATATTTTGCCGTACCAGTCTGGAGTGTTTTACTGTGCGCCAACAGTGCGGTGGGACTTATTTTGCATCTTCGAATCCAGAGACTAATATCGACAATATGTACCTTGAATTCACCAGCACTGGCCATAATGGAGAAAGCATCTTTTGATCGAATAAATTTAAATCTCAACTCTACGCCATTTAGCATGAACTTATTCTGATTGCAAATATCCACATGCAAATGTCCGAGCATATCAATCTCACGGCTTTTATTAGTTAGTTCCCGTCTCGCTTTGAGTCCTTCATTTTCTTCCGCACAATCGTTCATGTCAATTCCATCGTCAGTGTACCAAAGACTGCATGTTAGATGTGATTTTCTAGCATCGTATCCATAGTTCATTAACGTTTCAACATACGCTCGATATGCGTATGTGTTGTTTTGGGGAGTAACAAGTTTTTGATTCATAAACATATCAACTTGACTGAATAGTGAGTGTAACCAGTTATTGACCGGCCCAACTGTTTTCGCCTCTTCGTCAGTAGTGACCGCAGTTCCGTTAGATTTAACAATAGACGCGGTCAATTGTATCATTGTTTGTGAAAGGTCAGTGTATTCATCACCATTACCCGGAACTACAAACTCTATTGGCGCATCATCGGTCAATGTGGATATTGGTTTGTACTGGACCCATTTGCCACTTTCAATACTCGTCTGCGTAGGTGGTAAGGAGAATAAATCCAGCTCGGTTTTGACACACTCACATGATTTTTGATGTAGGAACGACATTTTTTTTCTCCTCCTTCTTTAACTAACTAAAAATATCAATAGACTTCAAATTTTTACTGCGACGAGTACGTTTCTTCGGCAAAGTCACCTTCTTCCTTGGCTCTACTCCTCCTCGTCGTCGTATCCTCCCTACTAGTCTCTTGTGTTTCACTCCTCCAACTCTTCTTCTTCTTCTTGATGTAGACGTCCGCACCCTAAGAAGTTTAGCCAACGACTGTGGTGTAACAGGCTTTCTGCCACGGCCACGCATTGCGCGTTTCGCGTTATTCTTACGCGTTACGCGTCGTTTCCTCGCGCCAATGTCGCCGCCTCCGCCGCCATTAAGCATAATACGTTCTATCTGTTCGTCAGCTTTACGTTTCAACGATCCAGTAAACTCTCTAAGTCGTAAGTTGGCGGCTGATTTTGGATCTGTAATTTTACCACCTGCCAGATCGGTTAGGAATCCAACACTGGATCTTAACGCTTCTTGTCCCACCGATTTTGCTCCGGACTTGATCAGTGGCGCGATAGTGCGAATCATACCGCCCAGAAAACTACCGATTCCATGTCCTCGCTGATATGGTGCACCGTGAAATACTCGATCGATAGCACCGCCAGTCTGTTGTAATTGTTGCCGTCGGTAGTATGCCAAATAGGGATCATTCAGATTGATTATCATTATTGCTGCTGTTGCTGCTGCACTCTCCTAAAATGAAGTTTCACGTACGACGTTCCAAACATGAATGGCAGTTTTTTCCCTGTGTGATCCCTCAAGTCGATTTCCACTGTTTCAAATGTGGATTTCATAACGGGTACATAGTGCGGACTTGTGAATGACACTGAATTGTACGAACCGTACTTGTACGTATCTATATTGATGTTGACTATATTCAATAATGGCGCTGTAGTGTCGCCGATAAATTGTGGCTCTATCAAGTCGCAATACACATAAATGTGCGCTGGAATACCCAATGCGAGGTTTGGTGCTTTAGAACCAATCAATTCGGTAATATTGGGTTTTAATATATTTTTCTCGTCATAATCGAAACCCAACTGCTGTGATAGTTTTTCACTCAGACTCACATTCGATACGTTTTCGTTCATGATCCTGAGTTTAACTCTGTTGATTCTCGTGTCGTATGAAAATTCCATATAATCGTGGATGTCTTCATGTTTGTTTATTGTATTCAATAGATCATCAAGATTCCTATAGTATCCGCCTGTAATTTTAACAGCGAACTGTTCTGTATCACGGATAGTCGATCTCGCTAGTAAACTATCATACTGAAATCGTATTGTTTCGTCATCAACATTGTTTCCATTCACCACAAATGAACAAGGATAGTGAATGTCCACCAAAGCCAACTCCCACTTGCCGTCTAATTGGATGTGTTTGGACAAGTGTGTGGTATAACTGGTCACTGTATTTTGTGGGAAATATTTCATAGAACTATTGCTGGGCAATGTCATAAAAAATTGACTGATACTACTAGACATGCTGTATATCGTGCGCAGCTACCCAAGAGTTAAACTCGTCTCCGTAACCTTCCCACTTCACTAGGTATCGCTTACTGTGTCCTCGACCTTTAGTCTCTATTATTTTATCAATCTTAAACAAGTGATTGTCGGGTAATGTAACTTTTTGTATTTCCTCTTCGTAAAACTGTCCATTCAATTCTTCACCATTGAGATCGGTAAGTGTGTACAAAGGTAGTGGCGTAAACACATTCACTCGATGTATCGAAAACACTTCTTTACTCCAGTTTGTCTCGTAGCCTTTGCTAAATCTCCCTTTCTCCCTGGCTATTCGAACTGTATCACCTACTTTTAGTTTTGGTTTCACTCGTCGTGGTATCCTTTTAAACATATGTTTTAATACATTGTAGACGACATGTTTGTCACCACCGTCCACGTCTACAGGGCGTAGTCTATTGCC